TATATTGTCTTTTATTGAATTAGATTATATTGTCTTTTATTAAACTAGAACTTAATTCTCCCCATATGTCAAAAACTAGCAAAAATATTCCTTGAAAAATGTTAAAAAAGATTGAAATATATTGTCTTTTATTAAACTAGATCTTTTTTCTCACCAGATATCAAAAACTAGCAAAAATATTCTTTAAAAATGTTTTTCTTTTCCTGGAAAAATCATAACACAATGTTTCTTGTTTATGACAGACAATATCGAAATAAATACAGGGTGTTCCAAAATTATCTTTACAACTTCAAAAATTCATAACTTCGAACATAAACAAGATATTTATATTCTGTCTTTTGCATGTATTACTGCAACTAATAAAGTTTTTTTTCAATAGGCTGAAAAGTTTTAAGTGAGGATGTGGACATGCAAAAGACAGAATATAAATATCTTGTTTGTGTTCGAAGTTATGAATTTTTGAAGTTGTAAAGATAATTTTGGAACACCCTGTATTTACACGGGTGAACTTTTACGTAAGTTTTGTTCTGAGATCGTTCCATTGTTGCAAATAATGATAATTTGAAACATTGCTTTATAGTTTTTTTTGTGCTACCTGAAATATCCTGTAAAGAGCTAGGTAAGTAACTGTGAAACTAAGTGAGAATAAGCACTTGTTTCCTTGACAGAATGAAGCAAATAGTAGATACTATTTTCTTAATGGGTATTTCAGAATGTGAGTCAATTTTGGGACATTGTGAAGAAAAACATGGTCAAAACTATCAGAATATGGTAAAATTTACCATGTTTCCGGCTTTTGTTTTTCTTTTGGCGAAAGGGTTGTAAAGAACAAAGGTGTGAGATGAAAAAAAATTGCCAAGCTAAAATTTTCTAAAATCAGCTTATTCTTTTTGTATTTTTTTAAAACTAAAATGTGTAAAATAGGTTAAAAGGATTTTTTTGAAATTTAAACTTATGATGGATTTACAACCCACCATATATACATGCAGGATTTACGAATCTTCAATTTTCAATCACATTTTCTAAAAAATTATAATTGTCAATATCGCCCAGCACATATTTTGAAAAGTATACGATCTTTCGATTTCAACTTTTGCATTGTTTTATTGTTTAATGAGTTATGAGTTATTTATTGTTGTTGTTTATGCGTTATTGTTTTAACTCTTGTTACATAGTCATTATATAAATCTGTACTAAAATTCCAACATAAATATCTCTATCAGTATAATAAAATCTGAAGTTGCTCCTTATAAGTTATTAATTTCAAATATTTAAACATTACTTTTTGAGAAGAAATAGCAATTTTGGTGAAATTCATCATGTTAAAAAAAACTTATTTGGTGCCATGCCGATACTTTTTTTTACGATAAGTGAAAATATTTTCTGATGCGCAATTAACAAACCCAAAATAACTCAGTTTTGTTCTTTGCTTATGCCAAAAATAGAGAAGAAAAACTGTTGTAGACTTAAAAGAATCTGTTACAGAAAGACAATAACAATTCTATTTTTTTTTCTGATGAAAGTGAGGATAACTTCTGTAACAGATTTAAAAGATAGACAACAACTTTTTTCCATTCTGTGCTTTTTAAAGGAAGGAATATAGCTAATGTTTCTTTCAATTTAAGTTAACTTATCTGTCTAGCTTTAAAGATTTTAAAGGACAAAGTTGGAAGATTCATGTATTATATAGTTAAAACAATTTTATAAATCTATAAAAGTTTGAAAAATTTTATTTGGTACTTTCATAGAAGTTGAAAGTTATTTTGTTCTAAATTTTATTTATGTTTTATTTTTAATTGTTAGAATAGAAATGAAAAATGATATTTTTATGAGTTCCAGGAAGCTCCACTCTCTGCTAGCTTCGTTTGAAAACTCATGTGATTGTCTCTTATTCAACATAGTTTCATTTCTTTAAAGTTGATGTTTCCTGAAAAAAAAAACAAGAAATATTTAGTTAATGAAATATATAATTAATGTAATTTTATGTAACAACATTTTGTTGATATGTTAGTTGATATGAAACGAATGATTATCTGAATTTAAAATAAATTTCGAACTTGAGTTTTAAAAAAAAATTAATCTTACAATTTTTTAAAGAAATTAAATAAGAAAAACAAGTGTTGATAAATTTTACTCGTTAAGCAGACTTATATTTCTTTGACAGTTCAAATTGGAAACTGCGTATAATCTGACTTGAAGTTTTTTTTTTTACATTTCTAAAAAAAATCAGGATAATCGTTATGATTTATATCTGACAATATCTAATCTCTCCCTTTTTTGTTCCGTTTGGCATTAACTCAAGCACGAGCTTATAAGATAAAGATTTCAAGAAAGATTAATAAATTTTCCTACTACAATGGAAAAATGGTCATTATTCGAAGCAAATAAAAAAGTGAGAAAAAATTCGCAAAAAACACTTCAAATTGCAATATCTTTCAAACAAATTCTTATTTCGAAAACAACTCGCGTAAATTCACATCACAAGAACAGCCCTTTTACCATGTCTAGTTTTAACTCTGCATTTGCAATTATGTAAGCTTTAAGGCGATTTACGTGACATTCTTTCTTATAATAAGCATAACAGTTAATAATTCTCGAATAAATCCTCAAATGATTTTTTTTAATTATATCGTTTTCCTTGTTCGGTTTTCTACATCCTTTCTGCAGATCAATCATCCAAGTTTGGAGTTAAGTGACAAGCAGAAAAATAACATGAAGTTATGTAAAATGAAAGAGATTTTATTTTACATTCTATAACTGTCGTTGAACAGCCGCCCCAATTTAGGGTTTACGGCTACTAATGTTCAAATCCGCAGCATTAAAATTTTGAACCCAATCTAGAAGACAAGGGAACTCCTAGATCAAGTATTGGGAGAAATTCGCCTTCGTGGAGAACTTTTTGATGCAACTAACTCGCATTTGCGTTACATGGAGAGGAAAACCACGAAAACCTTCCACGGTTAGCCTGACGACAAATGAACTCTAACCCATGACCACTGAGGATATTTTTGCGTCAGCACTGCGGACGGTACGAGCCGAGTGTGGAATTCGAATTGACCAGCTATCGCTGGAATCGAACCCGGGCCACCTCATTGGGAGGTGAGCGCTCTATCCCCTGAGCCACCACGACCCAAAGAAATTGAAAGAAAGCGTTTGAAGCTGCAATATTATTTGAACGAATTGAAATTTCTAAGAAAACCCCCTCAGGTTCTTAAATAAATTCGACCTTTCATCACGTCAAATTTCAACTTTGTCGCTGCAGTTTAGTGTTTATAGTAATTATAGGCGCGCATGCGCATCATTATGTAGTCATACGCTGGCTGGTTGGTTCGTTCTAATGCTACTTGCCACACGGGAAAGCCTGCTTGGTGAAACCGAGCAAATTTAAGGCAGAGTGTGCGATTCTTGTTTTTCAGTGGCGCCATCTATGGCCAAGAATTCGACTTCTGCCACACCATACGTCACATCTGCTTATAAGGCGGACCCATTCATACATCCATCCATTCATCCACTGATCATAATTTTGACCTGAATCAGAGAACGATCGATCTCCAATCCAGTACCCCCAAAGGTATTGATTTGTTATGGGAACATGGAGGACTTTGCAACTCGACAGAATTTTAATGCGCATCAGTCACCAACTAGGCTTGTTGCGAATGTGGTTTTGTTAACAATTTTATGTAAAAAGCTCTCCCAGCGTTGTCTCTTGATTCGACAGTGAATGATATTTTATTTATGCAAATTAAATATGTCTTACTGTTTCATTAACCTCCACTTTCACTCCTCCACTAACCTCCACAGTTTTATTTTATTTTAATTTATTTATTTGTTTAAAAAAAATCGGCAGTTTTGATTCTCATTTCAGAAAATAAAATAGGATTCAATTCTTTAAAAAAAAATTTCCGTGACAAATCATAATTTTACCTATCATGCATTTGGCTGAAAAATTGACTGCCTTGATTCTCATTATAGAAAATAAAATAGGATTCAATTCTTTTAATTTTTTTTTTCGTCACAAATTATAATTTTACCCATCATACATTTGGCTGAAAAATTGGCTGCTTTGATTTTCATTTTAGAAAATAAAATAGGATTCAATTTCTTTAAATTTTTTTTTTCGTCACAAATTATAATTTTACCCATCATATATTTGGCTGAAAAATTTGCTGCTTTGATTCTCATTTCAGAAAATAAAATAGGATTCAATTCTTTTGATTTTTTTTTCGTCACAAATTATAATTTTACCCGTCATACATTTGGCTGAAAAATTGGCTGCTTTGATTTTCATTTTAGAAAATAAAATAGGATTCAATTGTTTTACATTTTTCGTCACCCATCATAAATTTTTTTTGCAACTATTAAATTTTTTTTGTCAAGCTTTGCGTAAAAGAGGGATTTTAAAAATTCCAATATGCTGTTAATTTTTTTCTAAAATTTAAGTTTTAATTTTTTTTTTACGAAACTTTGCTTTTTTACACTTCCGTGAAAATTTTCAGAGCAAAGACTTAAGAGAATGAAAAATTACACACCCTAATGTATAAGTCCTTAACTAGAAGTATCAGTAATGTATTTGATATAGATAAATGTCTTTCTGTACTGATTTTAATTGCTATTTTTTAATGAAAAATGAGAATTTTTTTAAAAAGATAAAAATAAACATAAAAATTAAATAAATTTATTTGTTTTAGTGGTTCAGATTTTCTAAATTGATGCATGTTAATTTTAACAGATTATCTTAATAACATCTTTCGTTGCCACTTGCGCTAAGCACATCCTTTTAGTTCCTTTACATTAAAATTAATTTTTTTAAAACGTCTAAAGCATATTTAAAATGGAAGAATGTTATTTTTTCAAACTGTGACTTTTTAAAACATAAAAAATGAATAATATTTTATACAGTATTTCCTTCGTCAAAAAATATCTTTTTTAAAGGACACTTTTTTTGTCTCTTTTAAACGTGTTTAGGCCCTATAAGTAATTTATTTTCTTGACTTTTTCAGGCTTGAGCGCTGCTAAGTGGCTCAGCGAATCAGGAGTCAGCGTTACTGTCCTAGAAGCTCGAGATCGCGTTGGAGGACGTACATTCACAGAATTTGTAAGCAACTCTCAAGTTTTGGACTTTAAGAATAAATGAATAACAACTGTTCTACTACTTCAATCGGACCAGCTAATTTCTTATCTTTTCGAATCGATATATACTTAAATGTTAGGGATTTATCAAGATAAATATTTATTTTTACTTAAATGTTAATAAAAACGTATTTATTTAATTAAATAATATTAAAAATGTCTTTATTTGCTTTAAAAATTGTAAAAATTTTATTCTTTAATTTTATTATCATGTAACAATTGGGATACTAACAACCTTAAACATTCGCTTAAGGTTACTAGCAGTAAAATCTTGAGTTTATGAAACATACTTGTATTATTATAATAGTTGATGAAATTTACTAAATTTCAGAGAATGTTAAGACTTATATAATCATATCATTTTATTAAGTTTAACGATGAACTTACCTTAAATTCGTAACAATTTACCTTTTAAGATTATTTAAAAAACGATTATATTTCATATAAGACAATATTTAATTTCTTAGATTAATAAAAATACTTAAATATTTATGAAAAATATTAATCTGCAATTTTTAGATAAACTAATAAATTTATGTTTAATTAGTATATGAAATAATTCTTAGCTGATGAAAATTAATTTTTTATTTTATTTGAAGAAACTAATTGTAATTTTCATTTCATAATTTTAACCCTGGATGACGCGTGCATTCTGAACAAATGTTAAGACGCACAGGGATCATAACCCCAAACTAAATTCTTTACGCCACTATGGTTCCGTAGTGGACTGATCGTTAAGACACGGTTCCAGTAGGTCACCGAAGTCAAGCATCACTGGCTGCGGTCAGTGTGCGGTTGGGTGACCACTTGGATTAGGGACCGAGGGTACGCGTTATTGGTCCTCGTTAAACTGTTCTACCGTAAAGTGCTCGACTTCGCGTGTAGGTCGTCGGGCTACCAAAGCAGCGATGCCATCCCCTCTGCAGAGGATCAAAATTGTGATGGCATGTCTTCGGATCATCTTCAGGGATGTTTCCCTGACCGTTGCCAATAGCCCATTGTGCAGCTCTAGTGTGTCGTAAATGAACTACGGCAGCAACAACTTTACGCTACTAAAAACGTTATAATTTTTTATTGGAAATATCACACTTTTGAGTCTTAGTCTTTGAAAAATTGCTTAACTATTTGAAGCTCTTTAGCAATCTTTTATAAAACATGAAAATTTAATAAAACATGATAATATTTACTTCTCCGATAATCAGATTATAAATTATGGCATTTTATTTGACATGTTAATGCAGGCCTGAATGTATATAGTCATATTTATTTATATTTTATTTTCTGGGAGTCGATTGCTACGTACAGAAATTTTACGCAACTTGAACCAACTATCATTAGCAATGGTGAACATATTGATTGAAAAAATTGCTAAATATTTTTTAAATATTTTATATAAGAGCAAAAGTTTTTCATCATTTTATGAATATAAATTGTTTATGAATAATAAGTTTATGAATAATTAGTTTTATGTGAGTTTATGAATAATAAGGTTATGAATTATAAGTTTTATGAATATTAAGTTTCATGTGAGACTAATCTATGAAGTGTCTTCTAATACTAGTTTTTTTGATGCTCGCATGGGTTGAAAATCAATTACAATAAAATAAACTGAATAATAAGATAAATTGAATAATACAATAAACTGAATTATGCTTTTCATAGAAATTATAATTACAGAAATTATTATATTTTTTTTGTTGAAAATAGTTATACACTCTTCAATTTTATCATTTCTTTTTTTCACTAACATTTTACTTAACTGCCTTTGATAAACTATAAACAAAAGAATCATGTTGAAAATTGCTTTACTTTTAAAACAATATTTTTATTAATTTAATTTTAGAATCCTAAGGTGGACTATGTTGATCTTGGAGCCGCTTATGTTGGACCAAGTCAGAATCGCCTGCTTCGAATGGCAGAAGAATTCGGGATAGAAAATTATAAAGTACACGAAAAAGAAAATTTAGTTCATTACAATAACGTAAGCTCCATTCCATTGTTCTGAAAGATACACACTGGTTTAAGTTTGCTTTACGAAATAAATTATAATTACTTAAAACTGAAACATCTGCATTAAGAAAAAAAAATATGGTTAAATTAGCATTACCGGAATATTATAAAATATATCGTGTACATGGAAACACGAAAAAGCTTGGCAATATTTCCCGACCCACTTTGATAAAGTAAACTATACAATAAGGTTTCATAATATGTGGTAAATGTGATAGAATTCGGTAATATTATCATAATACCTTAAGTCATTACATAGAAACCATTTTTTTGGTTAAATTTACCTTTCAGTTTTGTATTTGTTGCTAAATGTGCGGTAATAAGAGTTATAATTACAAAAACCGGAATATCCACTATACCGCTATCACTTGAACAAAAGAATTACCAAATAACTAGATTTATTAACCAGAATTATGTTCTTCCTTATTTTTTATTTTTTACCAGAAATGTCATTACTTTACAGTACGGTAATTTTAACAGAATTTTTTTCTCCATCTACTTAAAGACTTGCTTAATTCTTACTGTTACGTCTTCAATGCAGTTGTTACCGGATGCATGAAAGCGTTCTCCAGTAGATGGTACACATAGTATGATGGCACTTGGAAAGCTCAGATGCGGTACGCATAAGGAATCGAAGTTATTTGATCATGAATTGATTAGGGGATATCGAAGTGCGATTGTTATGATGTTGTGATTATTGGTATTGTAACTATTCGAATTTTTACAACGGGTCATGTCTACAATTAACCATATGTCGTAGCAGTTAAACCACCGTTTTTTTTTAAAAAAAATCTTTTATTTATAAAATCTCTTACTTGGCTAAAATTTAAATAAATTTCACAAATGATTAATTACTCCTTCCCACACTGTAACTAATTCTGGATAAAAGTATGGTAAAAAGTGCCAGTATCCTGAGGGCCGTTACTTTTTACCCTTAAATTTTACGAAGTCGTTAAATTTTACAGCAATTTTTGCACCAATATTTACTCAATGGTTGCAATGAAATAATTATTTCTGGAAAAAGGATGGCGTAAAATATCAAGGTAAGAATAGAATTTACGGATGCTGCAATGAGAGTGCCAGAATTTTTTATCGTATTTTAAACGGATTTTTTTCTACAGTGTATGCAGTCTTTTTGTTTTATGCAGTATGTTTGTATTTATGTTAATCGATATAAGCGTTTTCTAATCGATATTAGCAAAACAAGAGAAAATATTCATTTCTTCAATTTAAAGAAATGTCCGACCCAGCAATTCTCAAGAAAAGAAAATAGATAAGAGTTTTTTTGCTTTTGTTTGAACAGTGAGTTTCGTTTTAAAATAATCTTAACATTGAGCGGGCAATGTTGAGATTATAAGTTAAAAATTAAATATTACATTATCTTCCTTCTTTCTAACATTTATCATTATTGTGATTGTCATTTTTATCAAATTTATTTCTTGTCAACATAAAATTGAAATCTCTAGCAATTTTGTACGAAAAATAAATATAGATCGCAATTTTAAAACTTTATCTAAAGCTAATTTTTTTAAAGTTTTCATTAATTTAGTTTTTTGATCATTTGTTCAATGATTTACATGGAGGTCATTTAAATACCCGTATGACATTAAATTAATGACGACGTATATTTACTTTCTAGATTTCATTGATAACTTTATTTCAGAGCCACTTTCCCTTTAGCCATATAGCGATAAAAGTTTCACAGGAAAAAGATCAAATTGAGTAGTGCACTTAATTTTTCAGCTTTTATTTAAATTGCATGTAAAGAGCAATCTCTTTTAAGTAATCTGTTCTCATTTTTAATTTTGCAGTTCAATAAGCTCTTAACATAATTTCTTGGGGCAATCAGTAATTTTCACTGATGAATGTGCTATATTTACGTGTTTCTAGCGTTAAAACTTCATATTTAATATTAGAAGTGTACTATAAGTATATGTATTACATGCTTATGTCTAGACCACCTTTTAGATTTTAATATTTTTAAATTTTAATAAACTCCTGGCAACTTTTACTACACTGTTAGAATTTTCATTTTAAAATTACAGTAAAATAACTGGCAATAATCAATCTATCCAATTAATCTTAATGTTTAAGGTAAAGAACATTTTTAACCTTTACGATTTTGAATCTTTTTTCAACTAGTAGGGTTGAAAAATCATAAATATAAAACTATGTGGTTTTTTCAACCATTTACAACTAGCATGGTTTCAAAACCGCAAATTTAACTGGACATTGGAGATAGGCTTTTTGTTAAGTAATGGGGATTGAAGTTAGGTTATGATTGAATTGAGTGCCTTCAAATTAACCTTGGATTGTGGTTTAATCAGTTTATCTGGTTGCTTCACCTATCGTTAGAGATGGGAAATGCTAGTTTTTTGCTTGCTTGCTAAGCAGCTTTATGATGCAGTAAACTATGCGAGAACGAGACTATTGTATTCTGAAAGTCCAGGGTAACAAACAGGGGAAGCAAGACACTGAAAACTCTTCATGTGAAGGGAATGGAGGAAATATTTTGGTGCCAATACTGGGACTCGAAACCCCGGTCTGTCGGTCATGAGATTGACAGATTAACCCTCTGGGCAACAACATGTACCCAGCTGTAAGGAACTAAGTGGCTTATTTGAAGGGCCTAGTCAATGCGATGAAATTCTGGTTGCTTAAACGTATTTGATGAAAGCTGTTTAAACAGTCTTTCTCGCAGTTTACAGTTTGAATAGCATTTTTCTACGGTTATTTGACTCTTTTGTTTGAATATGGTAACATGCATCCAGCTGCAAGAGACTAAGTGGCTTATTTGAAGTGCCTAGTTGATGCGATAAAATTCTGGTTGCTTAAACGTATTTGATGAAAGCAGTTTAAACGGTCTTTCTCGCAGTTTACAGTTTGAATAGCATTTTTCTACGGGTTATTAGAATCTTTTGTTTGAATATGGTAACATGTATCCAGCTGCAAGAAACTAAGTGGCTTATTTGAAGGGCCTAGTTGATGCGATAAAATTCTTGTTGCTTAAACGTATTTGATGAAAGCAGTTTAAACGGTCTTTCTCGCAGTTTACAGTTTGAATAGCATTTTTCTACGGTTATTTGACTCTTTTGTTTGAATATGGTAACATGTATCCAGCTGCAAGGAACTAAGTGGCTTATTTGAAGGGCCTAGTCAATGCGATAAAATTCTGGTAGCTTAAACGTATTTGATGAAAGCAGTTTAAACGGTCTGTCTCGCAGTTTACAGTTTGAATAGCATTTTTTTTACGGTTATTTGACTCTTTTGTTTGAATATGGTAACATGCACCCAGCTGCAAGGAGCTAAGTGGCTTATTTGAAGGGCCTAGTTGATGCGATAAAATTCTGGTTGCTTAAACGTATTTGATGAAAGCAGTTTAAACTGTCTTTCTTGCAGTTCACAGTTTGAATAGCATTTTATTTAAGGTTATTTGACTATTTTGTTTGAATATGGTGAAATATCAATTAAATAAATTCTTATTCAAACCATTTTTCCCCAGAAATTTCTAACAATGTAATATTGATGCATTAATGTACTGTTATTATGTTAGCCATTTACTTTCAGGGTAAACGAACTCCTTTCAAGCCGAGCAGTATTCCTGTTTTAAGAAATCTTTTCATTTGCATGGACATCAATAATATATTGTATTTAATTGGGAGAAGAAGTAAGTAGGATTGACCAAAATTTGATTTACACTTCAAGTCATTATCACTGTTTTTTTTTAAATAAAAAAAACAGTGCTAGTGTAACGGATAGTTTGTTTGTATGATAAAAGGTATTGTTTTTTAAATCGTGTTTAGCTCTATGTAAGGGTCTCAAGATGTCTGAGGATTTCTTACTTGATTAACGAGTACCATTTAATATTTAATTACAGTTCAGGAGGTTAAAATAATTGTAGGTAATAAAGAAGCAAGGATTAATTTGAATGAAACTAATTTTAATAAAACTACTCCCGAAATATATATAAAAAAATACAGACCTCTTGCATGTAAAACTAGAAATTCTCAATTACATGCATCTGCTGTTTAAAAATTAGATTCGATTTAAAAATTAGCTGTTTAAAATCGTTAAGATTTAGTTCTTTTATTGTTAAGGATCATTTAATTCAACTGAAAACTGCTAAATAGCAATGTTGAAAACATTGAGTCCCTGGTGGCCGCTTCAAGCCACATGGCTTCTGACCAATAGCTACCAGTTAGCTTAAGAAGTATGGGTGGTCGGTGCGTTTGTCTCCAAAACGGACAGCTCTAACCTCTATGACAATCTTGTTTGTGCGAGTGTTTTCTTTGCTGTAAAGCAAGAACTACTACTGCACAGAAATCGAAGTTTTATGATTTTTGTCAGTAATTTTAAACTACAGCACATTTTCTATAAAAATTATGTTAGCACAGGATTTGGCGGAAAAATTAAAATTTCAAAGTAATTTTAATTTAGTTAAAGTTTTAAGATTTCTGTACCGCAATTTTAAGCTACTGTATATTTTATTATTCAATCTTCTATAAAAATTAAGTTAACACCGCTTGGGGTCAGGATAACAGAAAATTTTAAAATATTGTTAGTGCAATTAAAGTTTTAAGATTTCTGTGTCGTAATTTTAAAACGCAGCCTGTTTTATCATTTTAACTCTTACAAAAATTCCGTTAACAAAGGGTAGAGCAGGGCAACGAAAAATTTACGAAATATTAATTTGATTTAAACAAAAAAAAGGAAAAACATTTATTTTTGACGAAAATTTTATATATATAAAATGGTAAAGATACTCAATAAAGTAATATAGTTAGATTATATAGAATTAAACAGTAATTGTAAAGGAAGTTCTTACTTGGGGCATCAAAAAATAGTAAAAAATAGCTTTTATCAATTATACCCCAACCAGTTTATAATTGCTAATTTTTTGAAAATGTTAGTAGGATAAAGAAATTATTACTATTTCTATTTTGTTAAAAAATTTAGTAGAATAAAGAAATTAATACAATTCTTTTTTAATTTATTGTAGCATAAGAGTTATATGATTTTATTCCAATGATTACATTTCCAATTCATTTAACGAAGAAAAGTTTTCTAGATAGTTAAAGTGATAGTTTAAATAATATTGCTTACTGCAACATTTCGAAACTAGAAATATATGTTAATATAATTCATATTTTATTATTTTTCTCTAAAGGTACGTTCTCATTCACTTTAATTTCAAAGCAATAAATAAATAATTCAAAATTTTCTATATTTTTCTCTAACAATATAAAAAATAAAAAAGATTAACTAGAATCTTTTTAGAAATTTAGTTTAAACAAAAACAAAATTTACGAAGAAAAATTTGCAATTTACCATTAAAGTCTTGACTACAGTTTTTAACTATTAGTATCGCAATTAGTAAAACTACAGATAACTAACTGCAACTTTTAAAACTACAGATTTGATTTTTGTGCGAATGCATCGAAATTCAGAAAGTGAAAAGTTCCAACTATATCAACAAAAATTATCAAAAACATTTTTTTTTAATTTTTAAATTTTATTTATTTTTTAGCACTTAGTTATTCTGGAAAGCACTGAACCATAATGTTTTTCCTTTCTCGTGCAAACTAAGCATGGTGGTTAAATGAACCCTTTTAATGCACTTTATGAACGATATTATGGTTGGATTTTAGACAGCGGTAAAACCGCATAGTATTATGGTTCAAGGTTCTGATATAATGGTGCAACACAGAACTAATTTCTCTGAGAATGTACAGTGCGCAAAACAAAAGTGAGCACCCTAAATAATATATGATCTAATAATTGGATTTTCATGTATTAAAACTCAACCTTAATGATTCGAGAGCTTACCTTAAATGTAACGCGAAGGTTTTGTTTAAAAGTTCTTGTAGTTATCATTCAATTTTTCAAAAACTATTGCTGATTTTGCTCAAAGTTTGTATTTTGTCATTTAAAACTAGAAGGTGGTGTAAAAATATGTAATGGTGTAAAAATAAACTATAAGATGATGCAAATATATATCTTTACTATATAGTTCAAAACTAAGCGTTTATCACTTATTAATAAAATGAGGAAAAAATAATTATTCAAAAATATTTTTTTTTTGAAGAATAAATTTTGGATAAATGAATTTTATAATAGTGTACAAATTTTTTCGATTCACTTAAAAAAATTTGAAGAGTTCACTTGAAGAAGTAAGTTTGTTTTTTGTCATTTAAAACTACAAGATGATGCAAATATATCTAAACTATATAATTCAATAAGAAAGTTTTTCCCTTATTGATAAAATAAGGAAAAATACTTATTAAAAATTATTTTTTTACAAAGAATAATTTTTGGATAAATGAATTTCATAATAGTGTAAAAATTTTTTCGATTCACTTAAAAAAAATTGAAAAGTTCAATCGAAGTAAGTCGAGTTATGGTGAATTACACAAAATGTAAAATTAAGATCAGGAAGCTTAACTACTATTGGGGCCATATTTTCTAGATTGCGGCTACCTCCTTCATTTGGAGGATTAAAAATCCAAATTAGTTGAAAAATAGGTCTGTTTATTTAGAGAAAGTATGTTTTTGTGTTTGATTTGGTATCGAAACCCATTTTTGGCCATAGGTGCTTAAACGCACCATTTTAATACCACCAGGACTTATATTTTTCGTTAATTTTAATTTTCTGCTATTTTCAAGGGCTCTGCAAACATCTATAAGATATTAGTAATTCAGTTGAAGTTAACACGTTATGTTCAGAAATCTTTAAACTACGCTTATAGCTTCAGAGCTTGAGACGGTAATTAACAAATTTGACTTTTTGAAAATGGATAATTATTCCAATTGAGATTAATCATATGCCTTTATGGATGATTGAAGTTAAGAGTTCTGTAAATGAAATAAAATTAAAACAAAACAGTTAGTGTTCGACTAAATGGTTTGTATACTTTGGTCAATGGTATACATACGAACCATTTTATTTTCAAAATAAAATATCATTTTTCATGTATGAATATTTTTTTGTTTCTGAATAAATGCAATTTAAGCATATTTCAATGAAAATTACACCACATTTTATTTCTATGCTTGGTCAAAAATGGGTTAACCCCTTCCTTCTCGCTCCCGTGAAAGTGACGGGGTGAGGTTTCGCCCTCTATTTCTCGCTCCCGTGATATTCCCGGGCAGGAGTTTTCAGTAGTAACGTGCCAATAAGAATAAAAATAATTCATTTCTTTTACCCGGAAGACATTTTATTTCTCATTTTACACACCAGATGGCAGTATCAGAATATTTTTAAGGTAATTGTAGATAGTGACTTTATTTTAAACAAGATGTCAGCACTAATCAAATACGTGTATAAAAAAATAGGCACTTTTATGACATTTTTCTTGAAAATTAACCAATCGTTAAGTGGTTAAACAATCGTTCGCTTTCATTAATTAGCATATTTCGCCCTCGGACCATTGAGAATGTCTAAGTAATGGAAAATATGACCATCAGGTGAAAAGTTATTCAATATGTTTTTTGAATTTGTGAGTAACTTTTCCTATTAAAAAAAATTAAAAATGAAAATGAACACTTTAACTATTAAACTAATCATTCTCGAAGCTGCAGACGCAGAAATTTTATTAGAGTGTATTCTTGTACCTTACTTTTAAATTAAAATGGTTATCGTTGTAAAACAAGTGATTCTTCAGTTGTTACACATTTAGTTGAATTTTAGTTCCGTAAATGTCTCATCGAATTCGCTCATGTTTTACCTTCATAAGGCCATGCAAGGAACTAAACATGAGCTTAAAATAAGGATGTTAACAGAGATATCAGCATTAAAACAACAAAAATTTTTAAAATTTCTATTTTATTTTTAATTTTTTGTAAATAAATAAAAAAATACGCAATAAAATAAAAGCTAATTTCGTTTCTTTTTTTTCTGATTTCTTTTTTCGGCCATCTAATTGAGCATTTGATTTTAAACATTTATTGATAAAGTGTATTAAAAAAAATCCTAAAATTTTGGACTTCATGTTTTGCAACTACATTATAGAAATACTTTAATTACAATTGCTTAAAAACATTAATTATATACAATATACTTAAAAGCTTTTCTATACGTAACTACATTATAGAAATGTTAAGTAAATTGTTTACTTTTATAATACATGAAATTTGCAACGATCTAAGAATTTTCATTAGATAGTATAGCTTATACAGTAGAAAGAAAGTTTTAAATGATTATAATTGATTATCATACATTTTTGTTTGATTACCACGTACTTATAAATGATCAAGAAATCCTAACTCTAGAGGGGATACCTTAATATATGCTAATTAATTATTTACGAAATCAGACATAAAAATGTATTTTTTTTTCGGTCGGATTTTAATTTTGACTCTCTCTAAATCTCCTTCCTATGAAATGAAACTCAACCTTTGTATCTCTAATTTATTTTTCTTTTAGAGAAACTTTACCTTTATATCTCTAATTTATTTTTCCTTTAGAAAAACTTAACCTTTGTATCTTTAATTTATTTTTCTTTTAAAGAAACTTTACCATTGCATCTCTAATTTATTTTTCTTTTAGAGAAACTTTACCTTTGTATCTCTAATTTATTTTTCTTTTAGATTCCTGCTAATGCTCCATGGAATGCACCGAAAGCAGATGAATGGGATACAATGACATTCAAAGAGTGGCTTGGTCGAAGTATCTATTTATAAAATTTGCCTTTACATTTATACATATTATAAAATTACTCAAGTGTTTGAAAAGGTAGTTCACAATCATGGTTTTTACAGGTTGTTCTCAAAAAAGAAAATATTTAGATATAAAGCATTACAATCCATTATTTAAATAAGAAAATAAAATAGTCATTAAAGTCTAGAGAAACATCATCAAGGTCAACTTTTTTTTGTAGCGGAATCAGAACTGTCAAAGACATGATTTTTTCAATTTGTCAGTCTTAAATTATTTGATGAAACTGTGAAACTTAATATCTTTCAACTACATTATTAGAAACTTGGTGAGAAATGGCTAAATAACAAGTCGCTTAGTTGTTATTTTACCATATTCAAACTAAATAGTCAAATAACTATAAATAAGATGGTATTCAAGCTGTTAACTGTGAGAAAGAAACGTTTATTGACTGCTTTAACCTAATAAGGTTAAGCAACCAGAATTTTATTTCTCCAGCTAGAACTACCTAATGAAGACTCTTAGTTTCCTGCATATGGGTACATATTATAACCGAGAGCGCTAATCTGTCAATCTCATGACAGACAGACAGACCTCCAACACATGAAGAGTTTCCAGGGTCCTGCACTCCCCAATTTGTGACCCTGGGAAACTATTATTCATGCTTTGATTGCAGCACCATAAAGTTGCTAAGCTATCTCCAGTTTCGAGTTAAATTTCGTTTTTACGGTTTTAATACCATACAAGTCGTAAATGGATTGAAACCGTATAGTTTTGTATACATAGTTTTTTAATCGTTCTAATTGCAAACGGTTTCAAATTGTTAAGGTTAAAAACGTTCTTTACCGAAAACGTTATGGTGGACCGACTGCTGCCAGTTATTATACCATAATTTTTAAATTAAAATTTTAACTGTGTGCATGCGGAAAATAAATTTATTTTAAATTTATTTTTAGAATTTTAAATCAAAATAATTTAAGATTAAGAACGCTGTGATGTTCTTTTCTTATTTGAATTCACCCAAGAAGAAAACTAGATGTTGAAACCTCAAATAAATAACTGACATAATTGTTTTTGGATAAATGTTCTTAATAATATTAAAAAAAATTCAATTTTTTTTTTTGCAAATCTTCACTTTTTTCCACACGTCATTTTTTAAAAGTCTTTTTAGCTTTATTTTCATTTAATTTCAATGATTGAAAACCGAATAAACTAGTCTCTTCATAATACTCGTAACTTGACAAATGAAAGAAATTTAGTAGTATTTAATAGAACAAACAAACTACAAAACTACAACTACAGAACTACAAAAAACAACAACCTATTTTTACGCTGACCGCCTAAGATCCCTTTCTCCTTCGGCAGAATAATTGCTTCATTCACACAACGAGACTTGTGCAGCCATGGTTTGACAAAAAGGGTGTTTAAAAATTGAACTGGCTTTCCCGGAGCCCCGACCTAAATCCAATAGAACACTTTTGGAATAAATTCGAGTTCAGATCTTACCCAGCCAAATCGACCATCTTTACTGCCACCAAACACTTCAGTTGATTCGGTTGATTCAGTTGACGGACGTTGAATGTCAATTTCAATGGTCATCTATCTAAAGCTGGTGGAAAAACATCCGGGCCGTGTGCTGGCTGTCACTCTTGCTAAAGGAAGCCAAAATAATATTTATTATATTCTACAGGACACATCGAGTTTTTTTCTACCGCGTCAGGTAGTGTATAGCAGGGAATGTGTTTGGAATATTTTTAATTCCTCATAAACACAAAAACTTCCGTATTTTTTTCAGAAATATAATTAAAAGTCGTTCTCTGAAAAGATATTAAACCTTTTTCCTGTTTTTTTTTTGCGCAAAGGTTGAAAATAGCTATTGTTTTAGCTTTATCGAAAAGTAGCATGTAAAAGTTCAAATCTTGCAGGAAAACCAGACAAAGATTTTTTTTAAAAAAAAAACTAAAAACATTTTTAAGAATTTTTAAACTTTTCATATTTTTTTGAACGTAAATAGTTCTAGAAAATTTTCTAGTGGAAAAAAATCATTAGTTTCTAATATTTGGTGGGAAAAAAGCAGCATATTACCAGTGTTAGTCAGGTGACTAATATTAAGACAAACTAACAAGTTAATGAAGAAAAGAATACAACGTTAAAAAATGAAAAGAATAAACAAAATGTTAACAACGAGAGATTTGAAAAAATGATTAAGTGCGAAATAAAAAACAAAAAAAGAGGGAAAAACTGAAATTGCAAAGAGTAGCGTTTGGGACCGAAATATGCAAATGAGTGCAGGGTACATCTCCAGACGAAATAGAGAGGGTCAGCAAGGAAACTTAGCAAGGGAATTGACATCAATGAATGAGCATTTAGATAAGCTGATGAGACAGGGCGAGAATTGTTTTTACATTATTGAAATTAATTTTATACTCAATGCGTTGCATTTTTCTCTGTTGTTGTTGTTTCCAATGCCACTTGCCACACTTGCAGGCCTACTTGGTGAAACCGAGCAAATTAGGGCAGAAGGTGCGTTTCTTGTTTTTCAGTGGCACCATATATGGCCAAGAACATATATGGCCATATATGGTTCAGCCACACACACGTCACACCCGTTTATAGGGTGGATCCATTGATACATCCATTCATTCATCCACATTTCGTAATTTTTGACCTGGATCTGAGAACGATCGATCTCCGATCACTACCCCCAGAGGTGCTGATTTGTTATGGGAACATGGAGGACTTTGCGACTCGACAGATTTAAAGTGCATCAGTCACCATTTACTGCACGGGGAGTCTTCGACCGGCGGAGACCGAACCCACGAACTCTTGGACATGGGCTTAGCGCCCTACTGACCTAGGCCTTTCATTTTTCTCTAAGTAATGCGTATTTTTTAATTTTTTTTATTATTCACGTGTTTGTTTTTCTCGATAATGGGTGCTTAGTTATGAACGTTTGAAAGGTGTTGTCGTTTTACTATAATTTTTGAATCTAATATTATATCATTATTGACAAATGTGTATTTCTAGAGATTATTCTTTTCAATAAATCTGTTAAATTTTTTGCAATTATTTTTATGGTTTTGATTAAGGAAAGGAGGAAAAACGAACGAATTAATATTAAACATATCTGCTTAAACAATTTTAACTTGATATACATCGATTTTTTTTTAATTTTCAAATTATTAACTTATGAAAGTCATAATTAAAAACTAATTATAATATTTTATGTTTTTACTTAATATTATTAATTTCAGGGGAGCGACTCAATTTTTCAACAATGTTATGACTGCATTTATCACTTCAGAACATTACGATGCTTCATTGTTAGGTTTTATATGGTACATTAAACAATGCGGAGGTTGCAAGAGGATCTTTTCAACAACAAATGGCGGACAGGTTAGTCGATGTTATCTGTTTTTTTTTATTATTAAAATGTAATTAATTAACCTTACAATTTGTTTATGTTGTATGCACAGAGTATTTCACTGCAAATAAAATATATAAATTTGCAAAGAGATATTGTATTGCTCATACATGTAATGCTTTGATATATATATATATATATATATATATACATATATATATATTTATATATATACAAAATTTCAAAATTCAATCATCTATTAAATCATAAAAATGTGATTATGAGGTAAGATTAACTTATATGAAGATTTATTACCATCACTTAAGACTGTCCAAAAAGGTTTGTTCAATTTCGTAGATAGATGTCCAATCGTAGCGAAAGTGACACAGCCGACCAACAGTACTGTTGAAAGAGTTACAGCCGCTACTACTACAGTATCCCTATAACAAAACAGATAAAAATGTAACAGCTGATTTAATCTACATAAAATGCAAAGAATATTATACATACTACGCATTTAGTGTTAACAAGATCCAAAAAAAAGGCGAACTAAATTTTGAAGAATACCAACTGCTTCGCTTNTATATATATATATATAAACAATACATGAGTTTTATTTCACGCAATTTAAACTAAAAGCTTATGTTGTTTTCAAAACAGTATTGAAATAAAAAGCTACCAAAATGTGCCATTGATTGTACTTCATGTATGCTTTACAAATTATCATGTCTTATAAATTTGCATAAGTATTCCATAAACGTATATGGATTTATGTATTACATATAGTTTGATTTATTTTCTATGAACAGCTAGATTAATTTCAACAAAGAATTGGACTATTTACTAGATAAAGCTAGATTCTGATTTACTACAGATAGCAGTACTCATTTACTACAGTCCTGCTATCAGCAGTAATTTAGAATCTAGAGTTAGGGTGAGTCAAAAAAGGTATTTTGAATGAACGCCTTAGTGTGAAGAAGTTGCATGTTGTTATTAGAATAAAATTGGCTCAAAACTTTCAAAATCAATTAACATTGTACTTAATATTAATAAAAATTTGAAATCATCACAACTTTTTAAAAATGTTTTAAGTTGGCCAAGACTTTTGAAATAAACAGTCTTCAGTTTTTTATGCTTGTTCGCGGTTCGAATATTTTAAATAGTTTAAATTTTGATCGATGACTTAATTTTCACATTTTTTGAGAAATTCAAAGATATAAACGTATGTTCACCAATTTTTCGTAATTTTCAAAGTGTCGCTCACTATGTTAAATCAATTCACTACGTGAATATGAATGCAGCATGTCAAGTTCCACCTACGAATGAAATGTGTCAGCATGAAACTAGAGATGGACAACACTAAACACTGATCAAGCAATACTAAAATCTAGATCAGTTTTACGCCATTTCCAAAAAAAATAGGCTTTAGATACCTAGTAGATGAAAAAGGGAACTTTTACATTTTAGTAAACTAAAGAATTCTACTACATTGAAAATCTTTGTAGTTGTAGATGCAGTGTGAATACCTCCACCCAGAAATTCAGGGGTTTGTTGGATAGAGTGTTTGTGAAACTAGATGTGCAATCATCTTCTCGTGAAGTGAATTTGGTTGTTCTGCTGACCTAGAGCAATGAGCGAAGTAAAATACACAGTGAAAATAACGAAAAACTGGTTAACTTGTGGTTTCTTCTGAAACGGTGCATGAACTTTAAATTAAGTTATTCATACGATTTGAATTATTTAGGATATTCTACTCATTAAACAAACATAAACAACTGAAGTTTGTTTGTTTCAGAAGTTTTAGCAACCTTAACTGTTTTTACTTAAAAAAAGCAGTGATTTTTCTTGCCTTAATAAATTTTAAGTGAACGGAAGATTTTAAGCGATTTTAAAAAAATTTTATGTCGGTTTTATTCTTAATATCATAAGCAACTTTTCCGTAGTAAAGCTTTCCAAATCAATTCATTTTTTTCAACCCTCTCTACTATAGATAGCTGGGTTTATAAAAAAACAACAACAGCACATAGCTGGATTCTGTTTGTAAGATATAGGGATACATTTTCAGAAAATAAAAGGGATAAAAAGAAAAGCAACTTGAAAAAATAGATTTGAATATTTTTATGGTTTCTTTCTTTTTGTCTTCCCTTTTTTGTGCAAAAAACAAGTTAAGAATTAGTTTTTTTTATCAAAATTGTTTTGAATTTTTATAAACTGCAAAAGTATTTTGGATCAAGCTGTTTCCAAGGGGTGATTTAATTTTTCTATAATTCGATGCCTTCTTTATGAAAACAAAAACAGCGATATTTGCATTTTCGTCGCCAACTTTGGACTGTTTTTAAGTAATAATCATAAATCAAAGTAATGATATTCAGTAATAATCTATAAAAAGTAAAGTAAAAAAAAATTCTACTTCTTTTTTTCATATTTCTATGTTAATAATATCTGCAATCAAAAGTTTATTCCGCTTTTAATTTAGGAATATACGTTTTATTTATCAGATTTCTTAAAAAAATATTATCTTGTATACAGTATATATTTGTAAATTCTTTTACTGTAAAAATTTTTTTATTAGGAAAGAAAATTCATTGGTGGCACACAGCAGATAAATAAACAAATCGCTAAAAAATTAGGAGGTAATTCAAAACAATATTCATCACTCACACATTTTGCATTGTATTATGATTGAATTGTAAGAGAAACGTCTATAATCTTGAGAACGATTTTGTTCTTCGGGTATTTTACATTTTGCAAAACCACATTAAATGAAACAAAAATATTTTGTAAATTATAAAACTTGTAAAAAGCCTCCTCGTATAATAATATATATTTCAGTTTTTAATAAAACTTCGAGAAAATAAAAATTTTGTTTAGGTAGTTTGAAATATTTTCCACAATTTGTGTAGAATTTTATGACCTATTTTATTTTGAAAAAGTTTTATTTGACTTCTAATTTTTTTAAGGATTAATTGCTTTTGAAAGAATTTTAAATTTTGGTGCTTAAGGCAATTAATATACCCAGTAAAAAAGGCGAAACAACATGCTTAAATTCATAATTCCGAAAACATTTTTATCACATGATCTAAAATAGCGTTTTCTGAACTTTGTAGAAATTCCGGTAAGAAGTACTAGCACCCTGAGTGCAGCAGCCATAAAATCAATTTTACCTTAAAATCTATTTCTAACATCTATCGCTATTTTCACAGTAATATTTTTTTAATTTAATTACTGTGATTCCCTGTTTTTACAGTAAATACTGCGATGTTCTAGATTTTTTGCTTCGCAAATTTTTACGGTAAAAAGTACTAAGGCTCTGAGTTCTAGTATTTTACCGTATTCTAATCCGGAATTTTTAAGGTGTAGGAAGAGATAGAATACATAAACTATTATATTTCAGAATTAGCTTTCAACATATTGTGTGCTATAGTCAGTTATCTATAATTAAAATCTTTTCGCTTAAATAATTGAACATGTGCAAAAATTGTATTTCGTAGATGCTGTTATAACGGGAAGCCCAGTTGCTGGGATAGATCAAAGTTCAAAAGACACTGTTATTGTGAAGACGATGAATGGGAAAGAATATAAGGTATACAAAATTTACATGACTTGTAAAATAAACAATAAAAAATAATTTTGAAAAAAGTTTCTTTTTTCTAAATTATTAATTTAATTATTAATTAGTTCAATATTTTTTAAATTATTAATTTCAACTGTCAGAATAAAATGTATTTTTGCGAAGTTGAAAATAAAAATAACTACCACAGTAGTTAGTTTATTAGCTTGGGGTATAATGGAGATAAGGGCTTCTCAGTTTCATGACTGGCAGCATGGTTATGACAATAAGCTTAACTAGTTGGTGCTTTTTATTTTTGCTCGTAGACGGTACCCGGAGAAAAAAATTATCGTAAAACAATAGTACTGTAGGGTAGTGGAATTTCTGATAAAAAAGACAGCATAACTATGGTTAATAAAATCAAAATAGACGGTATTTAAGCGATTCATTTGGTGATTTTTCCGTTCATATGGTAACAGTTTACCGGAAATTCCGGTTCTCAAAATTATACCTCTTATTACAACACATTTAGTAAAAAATACAAAATTGAAAAGTTGATTTTACCGTATAAATGGTTGCGATGCTCTAAAGTATCATGATAAAATTACCAAATGTTAACGCATATATCAAATTTTATCAAATATTATTAAACCATATTTAATTGATAATTTTACACTTATCATTACCAATGCGCTTTTTTAAGAATTATTGATAAAGCCAGAAACACTGCAAATTCAAAATATTCTGGAAGTTTTTACCATAATCCCAGCGATATTCGATAATTCGATCCCAGCAATAACTGGCCGATTCGAATTCCACACCCAACTCGCACCGAACACATTGCTGACGTAATATATCTTCAGTTGTTGACGGATCATGGGTTAGAGTCCCTTTGCCATCAGGCTAACCGTGGAAGGATTTCGTGGTTTTCCTCTCCATGAAACGCAAATGCGGGTTACTTGCATCAAAAAGTCATCCACGATGGCAAATGTCTTCCAATACTTGATCTAGGAGTTCCCTTGTCTTCTGGATTGCGTTCAAAATTATAAGATTACGGGGTTGAACATTAGTAGCCGTAAACCTTGAAATTGGGTCGGCTGTTCAACGACGGTTATGAAATAAAAACAAAATACTTTGTTGCTGCCTACTATGGTAATTTTGAAAATAGTTTTTATTGTTGCTTAACTAGCAGCAGCATCTTTTGATTAACTCAGTGACCAATTTGAAAACGTCCAATATATATCTGCTGCTAACGATGGTTATTTTTAAAATAATTTGTCTTGGTCTTTAGCTAGCAGCGCCATCTGCCTATGAACTTAATAGCAAATTTTAAATTTTTTTTTTCTAGATTCTGTGGTTTACTAAACGTAAAGCAACAAATCGTAATATCATCTTCCGTTTTTATTTAACTGATTTTTCATACTGTTGATAATTTCGTTAACAGCCGGTAAATAAAAAGTTGTAAACTATAGAAATAGTTTAAATTTTTTTTTCACATTGAAAATTATACTTTTAGAAATACATAGTTAAAATACAAGTTACTTTTTAGAACTTATAATCCTACGTGTTGATAATTTCGTTTTAATCTTCTTTCGAATTGTTTTTTTTTAAAAACACACGAATTTTAAATTGGGTGTATATATAAAAGTTTATAGCGAGACTCTTTCTTAGAAGAAACGTTAACAATTTAGGTTGTTGAGTTGTATCTTTAAATTGAATTTATCCAAATCATCTTCTTCTGCTGTAACTCTAAGAGAAGATAATACTGCACTTACAATTAAATTATTTTTTTGATACATACTCATGAATAATTTTTGTTTTCTTTTTAAAGCTAAAAGTGTTTATTTTGAAGACGCTTCCTTTGTTTATAGATCGTTTAAATTTAATTTTTAAAGTATGCAATATTTTTTTTTAAAAAAACAAATGCATGTGTTCTTTTTATCAGAAATTATTTCAAACAAAAGTAATTTGTACTGTAAATTGGGAACGCTTTTTTTTCTCTCTCAATAAGGTTTGCGAACATTTTTTTCCATTTTGTAATATATAAGATATGGAAATGAGTTTGTTTGCATTAAAATTCAGCGTGCAATTTTTTTTGTACCTAAGCTAATTAGAATTCCTCTAAAAATAACAAAAGCATTCTTCTTAGAACAAATTAAAAATAGTTATTTTAGATTGATAAATCTCCCAGATAATCTTTTGTAAACAAAGCAAAATGAAAATTTATCATATGGATTTGGTTTTCATTAAAAAGAACGTGAAATTAATAACGCGTATTTTTTATTTTCTCAATCTTTTTTTTTCTGCTGGAGTTTTAAATACAGGTTTATTTTTAAAAATACCGTGCTTTGGAAAAAGATTTAAGAATATTTTTCCTAAAAAAGGCAGTTCAGTTTAGAAGAAGATTAATTTGAAGCGTTATGTAGTAACAGTGAAATTATTAAATGAAGTTAATAAGTAAAAAATATTACCAAAAAAAAATGATCAGAATGAATCTGAATTATAAAATAAAATGTTTTATTTTTTAAAAAAGCATCAAATTGAAATATAAAATACTTTTTTTTATAAAATTAGTAATTAATAAGAAAATATATCACACCGACATGAAAGGAGCTTTTGGCTATGTAAAGTAGTCAACATTTTCAAATTATTTAGGATAGCGTTTTTGGGGATAAACATTATGATTTTTAATAGGGTGTTCCTGTGTATTTTCTAGTAGAAAATGCGAAGGCTTAAGAACATATCTGGAAACAATACTTATACAATATATTATGAAGAAAAGAATACTTTTGAACAGAATGAATCAGAACTATAAAAAAAAAACTTCTATTTTTAAAAAGCATCATATTAAATTAAAAAAAACTTCTTTTTATAGAATTTGTAATTAATAAGAAAGTATATTGCTACGTCATGAAAAGATCATTTGGCAATGTAATGATTAACCACATTTTTAAATTATTCAGGGCAGTGTTTCAGGCAATTATCGCTACGATTTCTGATAGGATGCTGTCGTCTCTTATCTAGTATAAGATTAGGAAGTATATCCGATAACAATACTGAGGAACAGTTCGCAAAAGTATCTTCTGGAAAATTTTTCTTATGAAAAAATGTGACTTAACGCTATATTTCCAGAGATTTTTATATTTTCTCAATATTTTATTCCATCAACATTTGTTAGTTCTTTCATATGCCATTCTTATTATAGAATAAGTTCAATCTAAAATAAGTTAAGTTTGTGGAACATGAGTTGAAATAAAAATATTTCAGTAATAATTTATTTAGCAAGAGTTAACTTTCTCAAAAAGACTTATGTGATTGTCTTAAAATAACTTGTTTTCTAAGTAGTGTACGCAAAGTTAAAAGGGAAACACTCTGAATAATTTTTGATCTAATCATTCATTTCACACTTAATTAATCATAATCTTAGTGGTTTCAGAATACTCAATATATACATTCATTTATCAGTGTCTATAAGCAATTATTCAAACAAGAAAAACAAAATGAAAAACCCACTTAATCTGGGACACTGAAAATACGGGATGTTTTATAATGATATAGATGTTTATATGTTTATATAAACATATATGTTTATGTAAACATATATGTTTATATAAACTTATATGTTTATGTGTCATGTTAACATATATGTTTATATGTTAGCCGGTTATTTTATCATAATTTCAGAAAGAAAATTCTAACGGTCTATTACGAAGTCATAACAAAAATGATTATTACGAAAATCACTGTATCTTTGGAAATGTACTCTCACTCATCTATATAACCGTTTGATCTTATTTTTTATTTCATGCCTTATTTGTCAAATTTCTTGATCTAATAGCGAAAGTAAAAACCGTCATTTGCATAGTTAACTTTTCAATATTATTTCTCTTAAAAAATTCTGTTTGAATTAACTTTAATTATTATTATTTCTAGCAAATTTTTAATATTTTACACTATGATGTTCAGAAAGATTCGGAATTAGTAAAGTATACGTCACATCCTCTCAGAAAATTTATATTTAAGTCACAAAAGTCAAATTTAGAATGTAATTGCTTGAAAAGATTCCGAAAACATCTCTTCATACATAAAAATTATGTATTTTCTATAGTATTTCTTTCCTTTCAGTAAGTTAACGTTGTAAGAAATAATAATTTAAATCATTTTTCCTTGTATTAAAAAGATTCTTTTCGCTTCGTTATATATATATATATATATATATATATATATAAATAAATAATGAAACATGCACATCTAGAAGCATAAAGAAATTCTGCGTAATACTGCGTTTTGATTATGCTATATTTTATTGATGTAGGTTTATTTTATCAAGCGAATCAAAACTTTGATTTCATTTTAAATTAAATGCATCAAACAGAACTATTTGAATTAGAAACTTCTTTTGAATTTTCTATCAATGAAGCTCAAACTAACGTTAAATATGAAATTCTACTCATTGTAGATATATTGAAAAAATATTTACAGTAAAAAGTGCGAAATGCTTTAAAAATCACTGAGTTTATAAAATGAATTTTCTGCTTTACTTTTTATTTAATATTTATTTTAATGCTAGAAAACAAAAGGAAGCAAATACGTTTCTTTGCATCATTACTAAAATTATTTGTAAAAATGCTAATATCTTTTATTTAAAAAAACATTGTAAAGCATACAAATCATAAAGTCTGGAATAATTTAAAAAATCTATCATTTTATGCTATAAATGTTTTTATGAATAATTTAGGAATACAAGACTTCATTAATAGGGATTTAATGATATTCTGGAAAATTTATTTTCCTTTCATTTATAAAAAACTGCACATGCATTTATTCAAATCAGTGGAAAACTATGCAATTTTGCATACTCTCCAATTAGAAGTTTTTTTTAAAAAATGAATATAGGAATTAAAAAGCATGGAATCATGTAATTGTTTCGCTACTTTTAACTGTTTACAATATAAACGTTCTTTATGAAGAGTTTTTAAGGTTTTTTTTAAATACCTAACTGGATATTTCAAATGAAGCAAAATATTTCAACTGAATCTTGTTTTTACTTCATTATGAACAAAACGCTCTTTGACGTCAGAATCAATTTATTTCCATACGGCTTTTTATTCCTAAATAAAAATCATACATAAAAGGATTTAAAATAATTCTTCAATGAATGGTAAAGAATATTCTTCTTAAATCCAAGCTACTTTTCAAAATGCGAAAAATTTAATCTTCTTTTGTAACATTTCGTATTCGCTGAGATTTATTACAATTACTCTTCCCGGCGAAATATGTGATTCTTGCTCTGCCTCCCATACTACGGATGAAAATCCATTTCAATCCAGAACTACCAGCCTTGCTCAACCAATTGATTCAAAGAGCACCGATGGGATCAGTTATGAAAGTCCATCTCTATTATGATAGTACATTCTGGAGACATAAAGGTGTGTCTCGAATAAATCCATTTTACCCTTTCTGAAGTTTATAATAGTCGTCTATTACTGATGTATCACATGGGAAATCAAGCTGTAAAATGTGAAGTAAATTTATGAAATATATACGTCTGTAATCAGAAACGATGCGCCGCCGTATAATAGGCACTGTGAAACCAAGCAAAATTTGGATATTCCTAGTGATCAAAAGGGAAAGTTATTAAGAATTTATGTTAAAATGTTTAAATTCGTATTTCATGCTGATGAAAAAGAAATATCTTTTAAGATATGTCGTGGTTTCGGGAATTTTGATAATTTTAAAGAGATTTGAATAAGACTAAACAATTATTTCGGAATTTAACAATTGTATTTAGTAAATTCAACGTGATTTAAAACATAGTTCGCGAAACATTAAAAAATTCATGAATATTTACACTGTTTGAAATTTCTAGGGAAAATGGTTAAATAACAATTTATTGAATGGTTATTTTGCCATATTTAATCAAAACTGTCAAATAACCATAAATAAAGTGGTAAACAAACTGTTAAGTTTGAGAAAGACTGTTTATTAACTTCTTTCACTTAATACGGTTAAGCAACCAGAATTTCATCGCACCAACTAGAACCACCTAATGAAGCTACTTAGTTGTTTGAAACTGCATACACATCATAGCTGAGCTTGCTTATCTGTCAATCTCATGACCGGCAGAACTGGAGTTCGAGTCCTAGTGTTGACACCACAATATTTCCTCCCTTCTCTTCAACACAAGAAGAATTTCTAGTGTCCTGCTCTCTCTAATGCCCAATACCTTACGAAAAGCCGAGCTCCTATGTTTAGTTAAATAAGTAATTTTTTTCTACGTTTTTGAAAAGTACTAGTTGTAAATGGTTAAAAAACCGTCTAGTTTTGTATTCATGACTTTATAACCATACTTTTTGTTAATGGTTTCAAAACCATAAAGGAAAAAAATGTTCTTTACCGTAAACTTAATGGTTAATCGGATGGACAGACAGCTGCCGGTTATTTTACCGTAAGTTTTGAAAGAAAATTTTAACAGTGTAAGTTATTTGACAGTTATATAGGTTTCAAGCAAAAAATTCAAATTTATTCGCTGAAGCTATTAATTATTCTGAGCAATTAATCGATTTTACAGCGTTTATAGATTTCTTTTTCCACACCAGTTTTCAAATATACTTTAATTTATTTCCAAAAATTCCCAGTTTTTTCATAGAGGTATTTTTTTCATAAGGAATAAAGAAATTCCTTCAGAGCGCCATTTTGCCATAGAACTAAAACATGTAAATTATGAATGCCATCCTTTATTATGATAATACAATCTGGAAACTTTAAGTTGTGCGATGAATGAATCTGCCCGAACCTTTACAAAAGTTGTTATAGTCATTCATTACTGATGTATCACATGGGAAATCAAGCTGCAAAATGTGTAGTAAATTTATAAACTATGTGGGTCGTTAATCAAAAACTATGCTCCGCACAGTGCTCGGAATTCAGAGAAAGCTGGTCAAAAACTCAAAATATCAAATCACTCGTAAGTTCTCTTTAGTTCAGACAAAGTAGGAAGAGTATTTTAAAATAGTTCATCCACACAATATTCTAAATATTATTATTATATTATTATCCATACAATGTGATTTCCCGTATCATCCAAGCAATATTCTAAATATTATTATTATATTATTATCCATACAATGTGATTTCCCGCATCATCCACACAATATTCTGAATATTATTATTATATTATTGCATTATTATTATATTATTATCCATACAATGTGATTTCCCGTATCTGGGAAGCGACTTTTCGTTAAATTTCTATAAAGCGCTACTTCAGAAATAACTATACTTTCATTATTGTTTATTATTTTTCCTCTTTTTAAGAAGCTTAAAAATCATTTTCTATGCTTACCCTCTAAATAATAAGTATTTTAAAATAGTTCAAAATCTTTCTGCAAAATTCATGTTTTAAACATGAAAAAGAGATCCCTTTGGTTCCACATGTTGGTTATAAAAATTCTAATCAATAATCCTTCCAAAGATAGGAAAAACAGAAAATAGCTGCCTGAAGTTGCCTCTATAGATTTTATTAATTAAAATGTAAAGAAAAAAGTGATTTTAGCATTTTATTCTAACTTTTAATCTAACAACTAGTAAAAAAATTAACCAAAATTATTTTTACTATTTTTATAGAAAATAAAAATCTATAAAGTAGATCTAATCAATTTCTATTTTTTTCTAGAATTTCTGAATTTTAATATTTATGCTGTTTTAATTGAATTTTTTATTGATTTTCTCATTACGAATAAATGTATGACTGCAGTCGTTCATTATGGGTACAACTACGAATTTAAATACAGAAATAATCTTAATCAATATTCAAACTTGTACCCATATTTAAAATAGTTATTTTAGGGATGATATTATTTATATAATTCATTATATTTTATTTAAACAATAGTTTATTTAAACAAGAATTTCAAAACATAAAAATTTAAAGCTCTTTGATTATTTTCATGCTACATATTGATAATAAAAAGTATTCTTTATTTAAACCTGCGTTTTAAAACTGGTTATAATAAATTAAATGAATTAAAGCCTTATAAAAAAACAATTCTTATGTTACAATCAAAAATGTAATAACTGTGAGCTCTTTTTTATTGCTGTGGTAATATTATGAAAGATCTAAAATTAGACTGACGGTTTTCAAACACTTACAATTAGAAAATTAGTTTCTTCTTCTTCTTCATGAGTACGACAGCCATTTACAGGTCTTGCCTGCTTTAACCATACGCAATTTCCAACGTTTCTTATCTATATTGACTCCAAATCAAATTTTATTTTTAAAACACCTAGATAATTTTTTACAACTCAATAGCTAGACCAGTGATTCTCAACCTTTTTTTTGTGACGGCACAAAATGGAGGGAGAAAAATAAAAAGCNATAACAGTTATTTATGTTTTTTGCTAGTTATTAATTGTTCGCTTGTTTTCTATAGCTAGTTTTTTTGCTGATTATTAATTCTTGTCAACTAGTGTTTTTGCTGATTATTAATTGTTAGCTTATTTTTTGTTAGTTTTTTTTTATAACTTTTAATTGCATAGCTTACTTTAATGATTAGCCTTTATTTAAGTTTGAAAGTTAATATTTAGCTTTGCTTTCCTTTGATAATTAATAATTTTAATGATCATTAAATTTCCTACTTATTTCAACATTTTTTAAAATTGTCAACGACAATTTAAACACTTCCTTCTTATTTTAAGATTGTCAGAGACAAGACAATCGCTGACAAAGATGTTCCCGCGGTTAAAGAGTGGAAAAATTATAATATACACTTTTCTTTAATTTAAACTTTACTCGTAATTAAAAAAGCATTATAATTTTTATTGTATCATTTCTAATATTTGGCGGCACACAAAAGTGCCGCGGCACAGTGGTTGAGAATCACTGAGCTAGACTATTGAGTTGGAGTTTTTCTTTTGGCCCGAAATTCCATGGAATTTTTAAAAGTGGCGAGTTTAACTACATTATTACCAAGACTTCTCCAAGCGTGGGTTAGCCATCTTAATCTATTGCTGTGTTATTTATGACTGATTAACTCAATGTTAAATCTTGTCCTCCAACGAACTGTTCACGTTAAAAAAAATTTTGCAAATTTGCGACAAAATATAATTATTTTCTCCCAGACTTCCTTGTATTAGTTCAAATTTTTTCAGACAGATTGCGCTGCAATAATAACCTTTTAAATCAGAGAAAATAGTTGAAATTCTCAGTAAAACATCTTAAAATATTTTAAAGAATAAAAATTAAATTGAAATATTTTTGAATTGTCTTCCATCATCAGAGAAAATCACATATAATCGCCCGACGTAATTAACGCTAGTAACGGAAAAAAATGTAGAAGGACCTGCAGCTCCCTCTGGTGACAACGTTCTGGTACTTCAAACTATGGAGAAAAGAAATCTATCTCCTGTCATATGTATTTTCTGAAAAAGTAATTTTTTTAAAATTTTAACCGTTTTTTTTTTAATTATAAATTTCTGAAAACGTCAATCTAATTTAAGACACTTTGTATGTTTCTTTGTGTAAGAAAAGATACATTAGAATTGCGATTATCGAATAATATTTAACTGATAAAATTAAGAAACCGAAAGATGCCTAAATTGAAAAATAAATTTGTGGTTAAAATTCTCTTTTTAGGGTATTGTGGATCATTTTTAGTAGAAGGTGGAAATGATTTTCCAGTTTGCTTCACGTTGGACGATACAAAACCAGACGGTGGTTATCCCGCTATATAGGGTAAATTTATAAATACAAATATGGAAATACTTGCATGAGAATACATAATTATAGTCTCCAGAACAAAAACAGATTCCAACTGATTTCAAATTTTGAGATAAATGCATGAGATAAATGGTGATAAATGCAAATTTTGAGATAAAGGCGTGAGATAAATGATGATAAATGCAAATTTTGAGATAAATGCAAATTTTGAGAGTGAAAATAATTCCATTTCTCTTTGGTGAAATTTCGAAAGGGGAATACTGGAAGTTTTCGTGAAATGGTACAGCAGAACATGAAATATACGAAGTAGTATATTGTTACCCACGTATTGATATCTCAAAATTCGATGTTTGTTGGGATTTACCTTTTTTTCAGGTTGTTTAAATTTTAAGTTGGATTGAGAAAGACGATATTAAAATGAAAATAAATTCGTAAATTGGAAAGGAATTACCATGCTGCACACCGGTAAAACATTTATAGTAAAATAAAACCTAATTTTGATTAATAAAACCCAAATATACGTTATTTAATCCGACCATTCAACCAAGCGGAATATCGGATTTTTTAAGTAAAATGGTACTTCAGAATATGAAATATACCTATGCATTGATATCTCAAAATTTGATGTTGGTTGGGATTTGCCTTTTTTAAGGTTGTTTAAATTTTAAGTTGGATTGAGAATGGCGATATTAAAAGTTAAATAAATTCGTAAACTGTAAATGAATTACCGTACTGCACACCGGTAATAACATTTATGGTGAAAGAAAAGCATAATTTTGGTTAGTCAAACCAAAACATACAGTATTTAATCCAACCATTCGGTAAATTTTCCGTTCACATGGTAACGATTCAGCTGATATTTTTGTTTTCAAAATTATGGTTTTTATTCCCACACATGTAGTAAAAAATGCAAAACAGAAAAGTGAATTTAACCGAATAAATGGTTTTTATGCTATGCTCTAAGATGTTATGGAAAAACTTTCAAATTTCACCACATCTACCAAATTTTATCACATATTATAAAACCAAATTTTATTTTTAGTTTTGTCAAAACCAGTACTAAAGTGTTCAGTTAAAAATTATTGTGCTTTTTGGTGTTCCCATAGAGCCAGAAACACATTGAATTTACAACATTCCGGCAGTTTTGACTATATTTTTTTCTCAGTGTTCGATAATAAAAATTGTTCCAAGAATGGTTTTTGCGTAAAAGTCATTAATTTCGATACCTTTGAAGATCTCACGTTTTTCACAGACCATAGCCTGGCATAATGGCATATAGGTACGGATATAAAGGAAAGAAAAAAAAATAGAACCCTGAATAGCGTTTTAATGTTCGGATTTAAAGAAACTATAAATATCAATCTTTATGAGCCTAATTCGAGGTCTCAAACATGCCAATTAATTAGTGCTAACTCCTAATGATATTGCATAAGCATATGCAAACAATTTATAAACTGAAATACTGAAAATCACTCAAACACGAGTTAAAATCACTCAAGTTTGAGAGAAAACGATCCACTCAGGTTATACTGAAAATCACACAAGCTCGAGTGAAAATAACTCAAGTTTGAGTGAAATTTTTTCCACTCAAATTGAGCTATTTCCATACAACTCTTTCACTTGAGTGATTTTAACTCAAGATGAGAAGGCCGGTTTTATCTAGATGAAAGAGTTAAATAGCACTCAAGTTGAGTTATTTTCACTCGTTCATTTTAAGAGAGTGCATAAGCACATGCAGACACTTACTGGCTTTGAAATAAAAAAAAAATTTGTGATGGATTTAGTAAACTGGAAAATATGTCTCTAATTGCTAAACCGGAAGAGCGGACGAAAATTTATGCCTCGATTTAATCAGGTAATTCCACTTTTTGTACATTTCAAAAACTTTTCTCACACAATGATAAAATCCATTTATATACAAATATATTCCATAGAGAAAAAATAATTTTTATTAATTATTTATTATTTTACTTAATATTGATTAAAAAAAAAGATTGAATTGTCAGGTATACAAAACTTCACTTTATTTTAAATGAGCAAATTCAAAATTTGAGCCAAATTGCTTGAAAAATACATGAGTTTTATAATTTAAAATGAGATGTATTTTTCATGCTTATTTTTTAAGAGCTATTCAACCAATTTCGTCCTAATTTTGTATTTTGTCATTTCAAATTAAATAGTTTAAAATTATGCAAAAATTTGTGCCCCGAACAATTTTTTTTTATCCATTCTCACGTAAAACGATAAAAAATAATTAAAGAATTAATAAAAATTATTTTTTAAATTTAATTAGGTTTTGATAAAAAATATTTCTAATTGTGAGCAAAAATGCTTGATTTGCTGAAAAAAAAATCTTCCCGAGATATGGCGAAATACGTTGAAAGCGAAATTAACCAATATGGGCTCAAACTTTCAACCACTCTTTTAAATTAGCTTTTTACCGGATTGCAAATTCCAAATGTACTAAAAAAGTTCCATGACTTAATCAACAGTTAACACTAATTAATTTGCGAGTTTAAAGTCCCCCTTTTGAACCATTAAGATTGGTTTGAAATTTATTTAGGGTATTTATCATTACTGAAACTCTATTTCTAAGTGAAAGTTTTTTTAAAAGTAGTTTGTGTAACTTTTCCAAGCAAGACGTTAATTATATAAATCATATCAATCTACTTACATACGTTTGTCTTAAAAATATTTATAAGATTGATTTTATCTAATAAAATATATCTTTCAAAAATATTTTTATAAAATAAAACATTATTTTAAATTTTTGAATGTTATTTGTTCATACTAATCTAACTCAATGAATACACACTGTATTAAATTTTTAAAAAAAACCTTAATGTACCAGCATTCGTGACATAGAATAAATGTTTTTTTATATTTGTCTTATAGTTGAAATATGTAGAAGAAATTTGAAACCTCCATTTTTCCGAATCTGTTCGTATACATAAGTCGCAGGTTGATAAGTCTAAATTATTCATTAAAATCCAGCAGCATTTCAACGCAATTTGAACTGAAGACAGTTTCTGTTTCGAAGGTTTTTGGTTACTTTTTGAAGTATCGATTTTCTTTCGAACACTTGAGGCGATATTTTTACTTTTATATTTTCAGAGTTTGAATATTTTATTGATTTTGTTTCAAATTTAAAGAATAAAGCTAAATTTTTCTTTTCATTGGTATTTTGAAAATCATCTTTAAGACAGACAATTCCATTCAAGTGTATATGCTTCAACAAAACTCAATTTATTGTTAAATAATATAAAATTTTAATGTATTCCTATAACTTACAAAAACTAAAAAATCTCTGAAATACTATAAATAGTATTTTCAAGTTGGAATTTTTAAGGTTCTAGAAGAATTATAAAAATCCCGAAAAGGTCTCCTAAATCCAGAAAATACCTTATGTTTTTATTGCAGATTAGTTGATTTTGAGGTTCAATTAGGCTAAATGTTAAATATTTTGCCTTCTGTAAATTTACTAGTTAACTTTATGACATTTTATGAGCAAATCTAACTACTTCATCACAATTAACGATGAATTAACTTGCAAGCAATAGAACCAAATTAATATTCCTAAATATATCTGAAGCTACGTGTTTATTTTGCTTATAACTTGGCTTTTAAAACGTTTCTACGGGACTAAAAAATTAAAATTAGAAATTAATTGAAATAAAAAATAAGCTATATACTTAAAAGCAAATTTAATGGAAAAATAATAATAATACATTTTGGAGAAACGTTAAAAATTATGATACAATTATTTACACTAATGATGCTTGATTAATTTTGTTAATAAGTACTAATAGAAATAAAGAAAAATCAGCTGCGTACTAAAAAAGAATAGTTAAATGAGAAATGGTTCTAATTCATTTTAATTGTAAAAATTCGCCATACTATTATTAATGCAGTGATGCTTAATTAATTTTGGTAATAGGTACTAATTTAAAAAAAATAGGTTATGTTCTAAAAGCAAATTTCTTAGAGAAATAGTACTAATTCAATTAGGAGAAACATAAAAATTCGCTATGTAGTTATTGACCCTAATTATGCTTAATTAATATTAGTAACCGACTCAACTGGTATTATGGTAATTGGGACAGTTTTAATAGGTACTAAATGTACTACTGCAGGTACAAAGTATTAACTTATAGTATATTTGATATTTGACTCTCATAAGTTTGTCTCGAGCAAAAGCATCAGGCGAAATGATACTGAAATAGAGTTATTTTTTATTTAGATTGGTTGAATTATTAAAACCTTGTTTTGATAATTTAATTGCATAAGGCCCCGAAAAGGGTAAAAATAATAATAAATAAGTTTAAAAAAAATTGGAGTTATTTTAGCTTTATTAATTTTTTTTGGTAATTGTCTTTCAATTTTGTGCCTGATTTCGTACTGCTGTTTGGAACTGATTTATTGATTTTCTCCCCTTACGCAGAACAGGCATTTCACGAGTCAGAAATTAAAGACAATAGTAGAGATTTTTTCTCCCCTTACGCAGATCAGGCATTCAACGAGTCAGAAACTAAAGACAATAATAGGGATCTAGACTATCAAAATAAACAACTAAATTTCGTAACTCGGATGATTATTGATTAAAATATGTAAGTTTAAAGATAATGTTCGATATACAGGACGCTATGCCTGAAGTGGTTTAATACATTAGTTAAAATTAGTTACAACTAATCTATTACTGTTTATCTATCTATAATAATCCTATAAGATTCCAAACCAGTAAGCGAATGAAATAATCTCAATTCGAGAAGAAGAAGAAGACCGGTGATAACCAACCACTTGACCTAAAACCTCAGAACCAGCCGTTTTGTTGTTTACAAATAAGATGACGCCCTAATCTCCCAACTGTTAGGTTTGTTTTCTTGTTGACTTGGAGATATTTCCGTATCGTGATTTGTTGTGCCAACTTTAAAGTGTCAAACAGATTTTCAACTTGAAATTTACAAAAAAATATGCATTGGTTTACGAGTTATGCTGTGCAAGCTAATCTCTTTCTGTGGTTATTTTCAAGGTTTTTACGAGTTGTGCCAAGAGTTGGCTGTTATTATGCCACAGATCACAGAAATCTCGTTATCTTCTTTTGTTAATAAAGGAGAATTATAACTTCATTTCTTCCGTTTTCATAAGTGTTAATGACGCATTTAATTAATTTACAAAATTTTCTTCAGTTATGATAGTATCGCCCCGATACGAGAATCGATTATGAGATCACCTATCGAATTCCTATTGCGGGTACCCAATTGAGTCCTCTCATCAATTCGAACGCAAAAAATTTTAGTTTCAAGGAAAATTAACAAAGTTAAAAAGAAGGAAATGACGAAACATTAAATAAAAACTGATTACATAAAAATAAAATATACTCATTTTGGAAAATAAAATTTTTTCACTCAATTAATCTAATAAAATATTGTTAAAAAATTTTTTTAACACGCACGTTGCTCACTCAAAACATTTTCTTCCTTGTAATATTTTTAATTTTTAAATTTTACTGGATTTTTTTTATAGGTTTGTTTGCTCAGATAAACTTCGTTATCTGTGTCAACTGTATCGTTATCTGTAGCAACAGCGTCTGGTCTACATGAATTCCTTCAAGTAAGCTATTATTACTGTAAATTTATACGATAATTTTTTAGTGTTAAATAAAATCAGTCATTTTATGAAACTACTTTCCCTTAAACTTGAAAGGAAAAATTGGCTCATTGTAAAATCGACCAATGACCGTTGCTGTCATGTCCCAGATTTTTATATTATTTTTTTCTAGTAAAGTTCTTGATAAAAAACAGTCGAAATAATTTTTTCAGAATTTTTGGCCCAAAACTATGGCAAGGGGGGATTTTTGAAGTTTTACTTAAATTTCCCAATTTTAGTTTCATTAGAAAAGAAAGTCAACTCTATGTAAATAAACTAATTAAAAACGAGTCAAGACCCAAAATTTCCCGAAAATGTTATTTAGGAAAAAAACCTTAAAAATAAAAGTTAGTTTTTTCAATGAGTATGTAGACGTGTTTCTGAGATTTAATGAGATTTTATAAATTTTTAATTTGCATTTCATTTGTTGAGATATGATTTAATTTTGAAATGAGCACTTGAATTGCACTTCAATTGCACTTGAGAGTATTGATTGAATTTCAGGGATATTTTAATCTAAATAGAGAATGATTAAGCAAATACAAATTAAGTACTTTGTATTCAACTGAAATCAAATTTCCAATTGATACCAATTGAAACCAAATTTCCAATTCAAATTGAAAAAAACATTTGAAAGAAAAGAGTGTTTTTTTTAATTTGATGCATTCTATTTGATGAGATATGGTTCATTTTGAAAATTTATAATTTCATTTCTTTTCATGATAGAATTTGAGGGCATTTAATTGCATTGTACTGATATTTTGATCAAAACAGAAAATGATCAAGTTAATAAAAATTAAGTATTCCATTTTCAGTTTGAATCAAATGTTTCTCTTATTAAAAAATTAATCAAAATACGAGTTTGCTCTTTTAATTTGATGAGATATATTCCATTTCGAAAGTTAATATTTTCCTTTCATTTTCAAATTAGTTTGAGGGAATTAATTGCATTATAATGTTATTTTGATCTAAACAGAGAATGATGAAGAGAAATCAAGTACTTCATTCCCAACCAAATTTCCTCTTAGAAATATACATTAAAAGAAAAGTTTATTCTTTTTAGTTTATGTATTTGATTTGCTGAGATATAGTTCACATTAAAAATTAATAATGACAATTTTTGTGAATTGCCTTTGAAAAATACTTTGTTATTTTGATTTAAGCTGAAAAAATTTAGTTAAGACAAAATAAGTACTTAGTTCATTACTTAAGTCTCAAAATTTCGTCAAAAAATGTTGAAAAGAAAAAAATTTATTTCTTTTCACTAAAAATATTTTATTTTTTGCGATACAGTGAATTTTTAAAATTAATTAATATCATTTAAGGACAAAAAGTGGTAATTGTTAACCCAAGATACACTTGAAAAGTATTTTATTTACATAATATTTTTAAGAAAACAAGTTAATAATCTTATATATATATTTAAAAAAAAATATTAAACTCTAATATAACAAACTTTAAAGTTTTGTTTCATCTCACATAATAATAAATAACAATCAAAGCAGTAACAAAATATTCAGCGATTTTAATTCTTAGAAATAAAATAGTCTTTAAATTTTAAATTTTGGGACACGAATAAAATGTTAAGATGCTTTAATAAATCTCTCCAAGAAAAACTTAAAACTACTGTATGCCAGGTATTTCCGAAATAAAAATTATTTAAATGCAAGAAGTGAAAACAATTGCTGTAAAAAAAATTTCTAAACTTTTTATGAGATATCATCTTTATTTTCAGCCTATACACTACGAAGAGCATAATTGGGTGGAAGAGCAATATTCTGGAGGATGTTATACAGCTATGTACCCACCTGGGTTTTTTACACGTTATGGAAGATCAGTTTTTTTAAAGTTATAACGCGATTTAAAACTGCGTCCTTTAACGCTGGTTTTCGAAGCTCTGTCGTCAAGGAAAATATAAAAAAAACCATAGTTTAACCTGCACATAAAGCAATGCCATGATTTTAAACTATATATATAATCTTGCCATGAAGAACTATTTGGGCTTTAGAACAGATTATGTAACTTAAATATTTAAAAATTATTAATAAAATATTAAAAAGACTTAATTATTTAAAAAGTTATTAAACTATCTCTTAAAATCACCAATTTGGCGATATTTTTCCAGCTAGAGGAAAATTATAATTTATGAGCCAAGGTAATGCTGAATTGGCGTAAGGTTTTGAATGTTAAAAAATTAGACCACAAACGCTTTTCATTTTTGCAAAACTGTGACTTTCCTTCATATTGGCGTTTTGCGCCATTTCCAAAATTAGCGTAGACAGCCATGGTTCTAGATAGGCTAAACTTGACTTATCTGTCATGAGTAACAGCTACAAACTCACAGCAATTACTTACAAAAATTGCCTATTATTCTCAAAAAAAGGATCATTTCATATTACGACGGAGCCTTTGAAAAACATCCTTAAAGAAAATAACTCGTATTTTTTAGTGTAACAGTTTTAATTAAACTAATTTAAATGTTGGGTTGTTGTTATTTGTTTTAAATTTGTATGAAATTTAATAAAACGTTGCCTTAATTCTGAGATTTTAAAAAAAATGAATTGTTTGAATAAAACAGCCATTTTGTTGTATAGTCAGTCATATGTGAGGATGGCAAAATGTTTTGAAATGATAAAAGATAAAGACTATTTAGACAATTTTTGTAATTATTTCATAACTTTAAATTCATTTTATTATTAAATAAGTTCCGAAATATGGCTCTAATAGTTAAGTCTGGAAAGTGAGTTTGAGTCATTAAATGTTACGTTTACTTTTTGAGTACTTTGCTACATATTGGGAGCATTTTAAATGAATTTAAAGCTTGTTAAAAACAATAATAAATATCGTTGAACCTAAAATAATTCCTTGAAGAAAAATAGTTTTATAATTATTTATTATTTTTTGCTCACTACTTTTGATATTTTTATCTAGTTAAAGCTAAAACACTTTTGAATTTTACGGTAAGCAAATTTTTATCGATTCAATTTTAAATGACACAATTTGAACGGAATATGTGGAATAGTTTCTGTGTTATTAAATTTCATTACTGTTGCATTGTTAAATCTTCATTTCACATTTCATTCAATTGAATTCATTCACTTTTTGTAAAGGTTTAGTTAAAATTGTGTCGAAAAAAAGGGTTTAGAATGCTTGAATAGTTAAGAAATTTTCGACAATTATCTAATAATTGATTATTAAAATTCTTTTTGCTTGGAATTTCTTTTAAATAAACGAGTTTTATCATTGATGTCTAAAGCATTGCAAAAGTGAAATTATCATTAGGGTGAGCAGCGAGCATTACCCCCTAGTATAAATTTGTTTTATGTTTCTTATTATAATATTGTGATTTTTATTCGTTATTTTTCTACGTGAGCCAATAGACAGAATGTACTTTGCTGGTACAGAAACGGCAATTGAATGGTCTGGTTATATGGAAGGTGCCATTGAAGCAGGAGAAAGAGCTGCTAGAGAAATTTCGTATTCAATGGGGAAAATTACACGTGATAAAATATTTCAACAGGAACCTGTGTCTACAGTAAGTTGTTGCCAATTTTACTTTTTTTTTCATTACTAATTTTATATTAAGTGTCTAGCTTACTAACTGCGCTGTGGCTAACTTACTTCTTGTTGTTCTTGCCGAAAGCTTTATTTGTTCATATATATATATATATACAAGTTTACAAATTTATGAATGGAAATTCTTCTAATTCAACTGAAACAAACTGAGTTATAAATTGGGAAAACATGAAAAGTTTACAGCAAACGATTCATATGAATAAACGAAATGTTCTAAATTTATGATTTAATTATATTTGCCAATTTACGTAAATTTAATAATAAATTAGATGTACATATTTACATATTTCAGTTTTAATGATGCTTTATAATTATTACCGTGGGAGTAAGATACGTTTTATCAACGAAGATCAGCTTGATATGATGTTTTTTCTTCATTTTCTTATCTTTTCTCATAGGTTTTTATTTATTTTGTGAGTTTTTGTTAGAAAAAAAGATGTACGCGTTTACGTAAAAATATAGCACCCGCAATCATCCCCTGAATCTCTAAAGGCTAGAATTTATAGTTTTGAAAGAATAAAATTGCATAGTATGTAAATTGAATTAAATATTTATTAATCAAAAAAATTGCAATTGATCTGAAGTCTTTTTAGAATTATATCGCATTTTAACGTTCATATAATAGCAATTGTAAAAGCAAATACAAATTTTTATTTAAAATAAAAAATTTTAATCTATACATATTACTTGTTTCTACATCACTATTTAAATTTATTGTTTGTTAAAGAAATATTAGTTTCACAATGAATTTAATTTATTGTATTGTTATTTTTCCTCAATAGCTTCTATTTTATTTTATCATATTAAACAAGAGTATTTTTTTGCAGAAATTTAAATCGTTATATTTATATAAATTAGTATCAGTATTAGTGTGTTAGAAACTACGTATCTTTTTAATTTTCAGACTCCCAAGAAATGCTGATTTATTCTTATGTCATTTAATTTTTGAAAATTAATGAAAAGTAAATATATCGTAGAGAAATGAAACAGAATTCTGCATAAAATAAGCGGATTCCAATATTTCAGGCCAAATATTTCTTAATAAATCTTAACTCCAAATCTCCCAATCTAATGGCTATTTTAATTAAGTAGAAAAATGTAATTTATTTAAATCTTTAAGAAAAATAAGCCTTTCACGGATTTCAAAAATTAGAACTGCAGACATATCTCCGAAATTGGAACTCAATTTTCATTTCAAAATTTTCTAAATAAATCTTTAACGTCTTTATAATAGGCAGAGTAATTCCATTTTCTAAATGAATTTTGAAAAAAAAAANATTATTGTTGTTGTTGTTGTTTCTTAACTTCCATCTGTCTGACGAAGTCAGACAAGATCCAATAGGTTGTTGACCCTCAAAAAGTCGATGACAAGAAGTGGAGTAGCGTATAAGTCCTCCTTGGAAAGGCCCAAGCAGTCAAGGATATGTTTGGCAGATGCCTGCTGGGCTTCACATTTGGAGCAGACTGCATAAGTCTTTCTTCCTTCGAAGTACGAGAGACTATTCGTGCGTCCACTTGCCAATCTGGCAATTGCTGTTTGAGACGCTCTATCACCTATATGAACAAGTGAAGAGCCCGGTTCCTTGACCAGTTATGAGAGGGGGGATCCTCCATTTTTTTGATAGATGGCTTTTGATTTTGGACTGATTCTCTGAGTAGGTAAGGGCTGAGGACGAAGGTGTTGAATGACTACAGCCCTCCTTGGCCAAGCGATCCGCTTGCTCATTGCCAAAGATGTCAACGTTGGATGATATCCACTGAAGATGAATGTCGTGGTACTTTGAAATAAGTTGAAGTTTAAGAAGGATGGAGATGCTTATTTTGTCTCCAACTTTAGTCCAATTGTGTAGGTGTTGAAGGGAGCTGCAACTGTCCAACCGGATCCAAAGATCTCCAAAGTCACTCTCGTTGATTATAGCATCGATGCCCTGTTCAATTGCGATTAATTCACTTCTAAAGACTGAAGTGAAATCAGGATTACGGAGACAGATGGAGTAATTTTGCCCAGATATTTCAATGAAGACGCCCCTACCAACTAGGTCTCCCAATCCACTACCGTCTGTGTAAATTTTTACGGCGTCACTGGGAATCTCGCCTAAAATTTCTAAAGCTCATTGTGAAATCGACCAATGACCGTTGCTGTCATGTCCCAGATTCTTATGTAAATTTTTTCTAGAAAAGTTCTTGATAAAAAACGGTCGAAATAATTTTTTCAGAATTTTTGGACCAAAACTATGACAAAGGGGGATTTTCGAAATTTTACTTAAATTTCTTTATTTTAGTTTCATTAGGAAAAAAACTCAACACTTTGTAAATAAGCTAATCAAACACGGAAACAATTAAGTCAAGATCCAAAATTTTCCCCGAAAATGTTATTTAGAAAGAAACCTTAAAAGGAAAAGTTAATTTTAATTAAGTATGTAGATGTGTTTCATTTTATGCATTTTTAATTTGATGTATTTCATTTCTTGAGATATGATTTCATTTTGAAAAATAATAATTTTATTTAGTTTTTCAATTGCATTTGAGAGCATTGATTAAATTTTAGTGATATTTTAATCTAAACAGAGAATGATTAAGCAAATGAAAATTAAGTACTTTGTACTCAACTAAAATCAATTTTTTTTTAAAATTTGATATATTTTATTTGATGAGATATGGTTTATTTTGAAAATTCATAATTTCATTTCTTTTCACTATGGAATTTGAGGGCATGTAATTGCATTGTACTGATATTTTTATCTAAACAGAAAATGATCAAGTTCAGAAAAATTAAGTATTCCGTTTTCAGTTTAAATCAAATGTTTCTCTTTTAAAAATCCCTTAAACGACGAGTTTGTTCTTTTAATTTGATGACATATATTTCATTTTGAAAGTTAATATTTTCCTATCATTTTTAAATTAATTTGAGGGAATTAATTGCATTATAATGTTATTTTGATCTAAACAGAGATTGATTAAGCGAAATTAAGTACTTCATTCCAAGTTTCTTTTGACAAAAATACATTAAAAAGAAAAGTTTATTCTTTTTAGTTTATGTATTTAATTTGTTGAGATATAGTTCGTATTAAAAATAAATAATGAAAATTTTTGTAAATTCATTGTTATTTTGATTTAAACTGAAAAAATTTAGGTAAGACAAAATAAGTACTTAGTTCATTACTTAAGTCTCAAAATTTCGTCAAAAAATGCTGCAAAGAAAAAAATAATTTTTTTTTTCACGGTGCATATTTTTTTGCTGAGATACAGTGAATTCTTAAAATTAATTAATAGATTAAGGACAAAAAACTAGTAATTGTTACACCAAGATACACTTGAAAAGTATTTTATTTACATAATATATTTAAGAAAACTAGTTATTAAACTTATAGTATATTAAAAAATAAACATTAATCTCTAATATAACAAACTTTAAAGATTTGTTTTATCTTATACAGTTATAAAATACAATCGAAACAGTAACAAAAGTTTCAATGATTTTAACTCTTAGAAATAAATTAATCTTTAGATTTTAAATTTTGGGACATGAATAAAATGTTAAGATGCTTTAATAAATCTCTCCAAGAAAAACTTAAAACTACTGTATGCCAGGAAATTTCCGTAATAAAGCTTATTTAAATGCAAGAATTAAAAGCAAATGTTGTAAAAAAAGTTTTTATGATGTATCATTTTTATTTTCAGCCAATACATTACGAAGAGCATAATTGGATGGAAGAACAATATTCTGGAGGATGTTACACAGCTATGTATAGTTCGTTCACCAGGAGTTGACACTTGGCTCCACCTCCTCGGACGCAGAGTTCATTTCATCGCGGGAGTCAGAAGAGAAACATCTCCGTGCTTGAAATTGAGACAACCCTTAATTTGCGCCAAACACAAACAGTGAATTCTTTTTGTCACATACTTCGCTTTATCATCTGCTATTATACCTTTTGTTACTCTAGCTTATTAAGTTTAAATTTAAAAACTGCTGCTCTCCCAGCAAAATGTCTCATAAAGGACAAACTATTCACTCAAAAGAAAGAAATATCATAAAAAATGGGGCAAAATACCATCAAATTTATGAAATATTTATTGTTAAAAAATGCACACGAAGTTTGCGAAATAAATATTTTTGCCAAACGATCGCCAAATAGCAACATTGTTCAGTATTGTTTACAACCTTCTCCCAAAAAAAGCGAAATAGAATCGTCGCATACCACGTGATGTAGGCGGGGCCAAGTGCCAACTCCTGGTGAACGAGCTATATCCACCTGGGTTTTTTACACGTTATGGAAGGTCTTTTTTTTTTTAATAGTTATAACTCTATTTAAACTGCGTCCCTTAACTCTGGTTTTCGAAAAACATAGTTTAACCATCAGTTGCTATGCTATTATTTTAAACTATGTATATAATCTTGCCGTAAAGAACTATTTGGGTTTTAGAACATACAAATAACTTAAACATTTAAAAAATTATTAAATTTGGCGATATTTTTCCAGCTAGATGAAAATTATCAAATTCACTGCCTTTTTCTCAGTTTTTGCAAATTTTTATGAGCCCAGGTACTGCTGCATTGGCGTAAGTTTTTGAAGATTAAAAAATTAGACCACAAACGCTTTTCATTTTCACACAACTGTGGCTTTCCTTCACATTGGCGTTTCTAAAATAAGCGTAGGCAGCGCTGGCTTTAGATAGGCTAAACTTGACCTAACCGTCATGAGTAACAGTAACAAATTCACAGCCGTTATAAAAATTGGCTATTATTTGCAAAACAGGATCATTTCATTTTACGACAGAGCCTTCGAAAAATATCCTTAGAGAAAATATCTCGTATTTTTTAGTGTAACAGTTTTAATTAAACTAATTTAAATGTAGGGTTGTTGTTATTTGTTTTAAATTTGTATGAAATTTAATAAAACGTTGCCTTAATTCTGAGATTTTTAAAAAATGAATTGTTTGAATAAAACAGCCATTTTGTTGTATAGTCAGTCATATATGAGGATGGCAAATGTTTTGAAATGATTAAAAATAAAGAATATTTAGACAATTTTTGTAATTATTTCATAACTTTAAACTAATTTTATTATTAAATAAGTTCCGAAATATGGTTCTAATAGTTAAGTCTGGAAAGTGAGTTTGAGTTCTTAAATGTTAAGTTTACTTTTTGAGTACTTTACTATATATCGGGAACATTTTAAATGAATTGAAAGCTTATTGAAAACAACAATAAATATCGTTAAACCGAAAATAATTTCCTGAAAAAAATAGTTTTATAATTATTAATTATTTTTTGCTCACTACTTTTTATATTTTTATCTAGTTAAAGCTAAAACACTTTTGAATTTTACGGTAAGCAAATTTTTATCGATTCAATTTTAAATGACACAATTTGAACGGAATATGTGGAATAGTTTCTGTGTTATTAAATTTCATTACTGTTGCATTGTTAAATCTTCATTTCACATTTCATTCAATTGAATTCATTCACTTTTTGTAAAGGTTTAGTTAAAATTGTGTCGAAAAAAAGGGTTTAGAATGCTTGAATAGTTAAGAAATTTTCGACAATTATCTAATAATTGATTATTAAAATTCTTTTTGCTTGGAATTTCTTTTAAATAAACGAGTTTTATCATTGATGTCTAAAGCATTGCAAAAGTGAAATTATCATTAGGGTGAGCAGCGAGCATTACCCCCTAGTATAAATTTGTTTTATGTTTCTTATTATAATATTGTGATTTTTATTCGTTATTTTTCTACGTGAGCCAATAGACAGAATGTACTTTGCTGGTACAGAAACGGCAATTGAATGGTCTGGTTATATGGAAGGTGCTATTGAAGTAGGAGAGAGAACTGCTCGAGAAATTTTGTATTCAATGGGCAAAATAACACGTGATAAAATATTTCAACAGGAACCTGTGTCTACAGTAAGTTGTTGCCAATTCTATTTTTTCTTCCATTACTAATTTTATATTAAGTGTCTAGCTTACTAACTGTGCTGTGACTAACTTACATCTTGTTGTTCTTGCCGAAAGCTTTATTTGTTCATATATATATATATATATTTATATTTCTTGCGTTCGTTGCGTTCATTTTCTGACCATTTGATTAAATTTTAGTGACTGTAAGCTGATTACTGTTACTATAATTGAATTGATGCCGACTGACCTATGTAAGGGTCAGGGAACTGGCCTTGCGCCAGAAAGGTGCTGCGTTCGAATCCCGGGCAGGACACGGATGTACTTTCATTCTCTGTACTATCTGTCCTTACTGTGAGAGCAATGTTGACCCACCTAATATGGTGCCCCGGAAATGTGGCCATCATATCTGCCCTTCAGATGCTTGTAAAACGTAGGTCATTCCCCGGGCGGGCATTTAAGAAGAAAATAATAATTAAATTGATTAAGACGTGATTCCTTAATTTTTTTGTTGTCATTTTTCGTGATTTTTAACTGCTATTCCATTCTAGTATATTACACTTATTTTTGTTTCTCTTTTAGGATGTCGTACTGAAACCTTTTGAGGTTACTTTAGCAGAGAAATATACACCATCTGTCCCATTTTTCTTGAAGTTAATGGCATTATCTGCAGTTGGAATAGGAGTACTAACTGTATTGAAATGTCCTAAATTTAAATTAGTAAAATTTAATATTGTGTCTTGTTTCAAACCGCATTAGATGTTTATACTTTTGTAATTTCTTAATCTATCATATGTTTCATAGAATTTATACTATAAATAAAATGCAATTCTTCTTTGCATGGATTTCCTTGAACAATTTTAATGTAATATTCATTAATATGTAATTTTTAATGTAAATATTCTAATACAGTTTCCAAAGAATGAAATTATTTATCTAAAGAATTAAAAAGAAACAATCTAATAGTGCTTCAAAATTTAATTTTTTTCTTAATTTCTTCTTAATAAAATGTCTCTTAATAAAATGCTTAAAAAACAGTGCTAATAAATATTTTAAATTTGATTGCTTGTTAGATTTAAGAATCTACACCTCCAAACGAATTTATATTAAGGATTAAATTTAAGTTAATTTATTTTAATATATGAAAGATCGCATTAAACTTTAAAGATCTAACTTGATTAAATGAGAATTACTTATTAAACTTGATAATGAATAAAATTCGTATTGTTTGAAATAGTTTCATATAATTGAAAAATAATTGAACTTAATAATAATCATTTCACTAAAAAGATTTGTTCCCTAATACATTATTCAATTGCATGCAACACATATCAATAGGTATTTTCTCAATTTTAATTACATTTACTGCACTCGCATGCAACATAAAAAAACATAAATCTTATCATTAAAATTTGAAATACATAAGAGTTATTTAGTGTTGAGTTGATTCTCTTGAGGTCCGTATAACTGAACTTTATTAAAATTTAGTGTGCACATTAAATTTAAAATTATTTTTAAGTATTTCGAAAAGGAACATTTCGAAACATTAATTATTTTCCTTCATCTTAAACTATTAGAAATAGAAAATATGAGTATATAGCAATTTTTTTTATTTTTATATTCAATTTTTTTATTTTCATATAATTTTTTAATACACTTTTAACAAACTCATAATTTTTAGTAATAGTTAAGAAAATTTTAGAACACAGTTTTCATTTTTTTAAACTCTTTTGAGGCTTAGTTTTTATAGTTACTATCAAATTTATTATATATAGTACAAGAATAAAATACTTTTTGAACAAATATTTAGTAACATATTTATATATTAATTTACGACGGAATATTAAAAAAGATACTTTTCCTAGTAATGCAGAAAAAGCTATTTATTTATCTTGTGCAGAATTTCAAAGTAAAATTTTTTTAAGTTATAATTTTAATATTTTCGAAGCATTAACATTAATCTCAGCAAACACGCATTTCAGAACAAACAAAAAATGCTTTAAATTAATTTTTTTCTCATTAAAATATTTCCTTTATTTTATCAATGAAATTATACAAGACAATAGAATAAAGTTTATGAGAAAAATAATTAATTGAAGTTACTCTAAATTTATTTGCGATCATTATAAGCAATTTTTCATCTAAATTAAGAAAAAAATAATAAAAAGCTTTTTGGTAAAAAAGAAGTAGACAGATTTACTTTACTATAATCTTTTAATTAAATTAGCATTTTTTAAAATTAAATAAAATCTTTGAAATAAAATTTTTATCTGATGTAGAGGAATTTATAATTTAATAATTAATTTTTGTCTATTTTTCTGCGTGAATTAAAATTGCATTCACCATAGAAAAGAATTTAAGAAATAAAATTAAATGTCAGTTGGTTCTATTTTTCCCTAAATAATAACTATAATTTTAAAAACCAGAATTTCCGATAAACCGGTAAACCTTGTAATTTTACTTCTACTTCTCAGCATCATACACCGAGAAAAAAAAAAGTAAAGCCAAGATTGTAGAAAAAACCTCCAGATTGTAATAAAATTTACCGTATTTGTGGCTTTGTGGGAGAACCAAAAAACTCAGTAATTTTTACCAAAGCACTATGGTATTGATTTTGGTAAAATTAACAACAAAATATGGCTTTATGATGCGTAATAAATTTTTTTAAATATGATAACATTTTGTGAATGAGCTAAGATTTGGTAATTTAATCATGATATCTTAGAAAATGGCGGAAAAAACCACTTATTTGGTTAAATTAATTTTTCTGTTCAATATTTTCCACCAAATAATAATTATAGTTTTGAGTATCAGAATTTCCGTTAATATGTATTCATATGAATTGAAAATTACCAAATAAATTGCTTAGATACATTTTGGTTTAATTAACCAGAATTACATTTTTTAACCAAATATTGTCCCCACAATAAAATGTTTTTTCCTTGAAATGAGGGCGAAAATAGTTAGCGATTAACCACTGAGTTGAGAGGTTCCATCCAGATTCCAATTACTAGATTCTAAGTGGATATGCCATCTAAGATTAAAATAATATTTATCTCATATTATTTTTTTACTATGGGTGTTGATCCAAATTTCCTTAAAACATTAATTTTTTGATGAAAATTTTTAATCTTTTGAAAATGCCCAAATGTGCTCAAAAAATATCTTAAAATGAGATTTTTTAAAGCAAAACATGATATTTCCACAATCCATATTATAGAAGAAAAGAAGAAATAGAGCAGGCAGTTCTGATGAATATATATATATATATAAAAGTGAAATTATC